TTCTATAAATCCTAGAAGTTTATTAATCGTTAATTCTATAAAACGATTATTCTCTATAATCTCCCCTTCTATTTATTTAGCGATAACTATTTCTACCTCTATAACGCTTATTAATATAGAAGTATTTAAATATTTTAATATTCTCTTCTACCTTTAATATACTCCTAAGCTAAGTAGATAATATATTAAAAGATTATTCTAGCTTTATTAATATAATCTTTAGCTCTAAAATACTTTAAATTATTCTTAGAGTATTTATATAGAGATAGGTCTCCTCCTAGAATATTAGATTAAATACTCTTTAATATTATTAAAGCTTATTTAGAAAGATCTAGAGAACTTCTATTTATAGCTTTCCTATATTCTCGGGCTCTATAATAATAGAATTAAACGTTATAGAGCTCTAATCTATATAATATTAAGCTCTATTAATCTCCGAATTAAATTATTATTTAATTTTTAAATATATTTATTAGATTCTTATACTCCTATTTATATATTCTAAGAAGAAAACTTATATACGCCCTAAAAGTATACTTAAGAAGAATATATAAAACTATATATATTAGATTTATAAGAGCTTATATATATCTATAAAGATATATATTTTATCGTCTAAGATATTATAAATCTTTTTAGAGTAATTATTCTCTTTATTCTAGAATAATATAAATTACTTAATTATAGCTTTATCAATTAATAAGTTTATTGATTTATATAATAATAGAATATAATATTAAATTAATAAGTTCTAAATATTATTTAGAGATAAGGTCTTATTTTATTATAAATAAGATATAATCTCTTATTAATTAGATTATTTATTCTATTAATTAAATAACCCTAAAATATAAAGTTAATAAGGATTTATCCTTTTATTTTATATAATTTAGATTTAAAATAATTAAATAATCCTTATTATAAGTAATTATTTATTATTTAATTATTCTTAATATTCCTCTATTCTATAGAATATTAAATTATAATTAATATTACTCTTTAATACGTTTATATTAGATATCTCTTTTTATAATAATATTAAAATTAATTTCTTTAATATTTTAATATTCATTATTTTTAGAAAAAGGATCTTATAATTTATAAAATATATTTTTAATATTTAAGAGATTATTAAATTATAAGAATCGAAATCCTCTTCGCTTTAATTTTAGAAATCTTTAATAAATATTTCTAAGAAATAAACTCCTTTTATATTTCTATATATACTTATTATTTTAATAATCTAAGCGCTTTTAAGATCTATAGATATTAAATCTAATAATCCTAGGAATTATAACTTTACGCTATTTACGATAAAATCGATATCGAGATCCTTCTTAACCCTCTAAATAAAGTATATAATATTAATATCCTTTAAAATAATATCGAACTTTTATTATAGTTTTTTAATATTCTCTAGCTTTATTATAGAATTATTATTATAATCTAAAGAGCTTATTATCGCTAAGTTTATAAAGCTTTAATATAAATAGTTAATTATTCTATATAGCTTTATTTTTTAGGTTTTATAATTAATAATATAGCTTAATAATAATTTTAATCGTAAGAGTCCTAAGATACTCGAAATAGATAATACTCTTATAGATTATATAATAAAGGAATTCCTTATTATTAAGCTTATATAAAAGTCTTAAAATATTTAAAAATAAAATAGTACTTTTACGATTATTTATAAAGCGTAATCGATAAGCTTATATATAATAAATATATTATTTATAGGATCGATCCTAACTTCTCTAGCTCTAGCTATTCTATATTATATTAAATATAATATTAATTAATATTAAGAGGGCTTTACTATTTATATAAACCTTAATCTAATACTTCCGCTATATTTACGAGCTCTAGATAAGTAGGGTATTTAATAAATCTTATAATATTTAATTTATATATAATTCTTATCTATTTCTCTAAATTATTATTATTTACGTAAGTTAGATATACCTATCTACTCTTAGCGATTACGTAAGCTATAGTTTACGTGCTCCTAAGAGTAGTAGATCCTAGATATCCTAGATACCTTAGATATCGCTATCCTAACCATAGAGTTCCCTAATATTGGTTCAACAGGACCTGTATTATGTCATCATTATGGCGAGGGACAACTCCAGTAGTCAGTCGTCTGGCTGGGCACGGGGAGTGTTCACAACGCTCACTATAACCCTACCTACTGAAATGCTCACCTGAAATCAACCTTTGCCGTCTCGAAAACACTGACAAGACTGCGCCTTCATCATGGTGTGTAGCACCATGCTTGGGGAATAATGTTCAAGTTTGTATCCGACAATGTAGGCGGTGTTGGGACCAAACGCAAGCACTCTGGCAAGCCCTGTGATCAGTGCAAGAAGCGCCATGTGAGTCCTGGAGAGCTTTCTTGGCGCGATACGACCATGAGCGGCGATTTACACATCTATCAAATTAGACTGACAAGACAAAAGAAAAAATGTTCCCATAATCAGCCTGTGAGCTCAAATGGGTCTCCCGGAACTCCATCATCGTCAATACACGTAGTCGATCGACCTCGGAGCGATGACTCTGCTGTCCCGCATGAAAGCTCGCGAGTTGCAGCAAAGACAGCCAAACCACATGATACCTCTTCCGCGCTGGTGCGATCACTGCAGCCTCCGCAAAGTGCCAAGCCCGCATCATCATTGGCTCCGTCTGAAGGCGCATACTTGCGATTCGTCGGCGACCTGAGCCCCGAGGCTTCTTTCTTGGAAAACCGCACACGAAAACCCGGTGTTCAGAAATCTTCGAGGCCGGGCGAAGTGGGAGTTTGGCTGGGCCAGAGAACTGATGACCGAGCCCCCCCGGATGATCAGCAACAGGGCGGCACTGTCATAGTTGAACCGGTAGGCAGCCCTGCCTACCGTCTTGAGGGCCTGGCTGGACTGCAAGCGCTCTATCCCTACCTCCGGAGAGAGTGCGCACTCGTACTGCCTCCCAAGAAAGAGTTCGAGCTCTTGTCACGCCTCTACTACGCAAAGTTCGATCCGCTGTTCCCCATCTTGCATGAGGAGGCCATCGACCAGCACGATGTGATGGATGCCGTCGCTCTCAAGCAAGGCATATGTCTGCAAGCAGCCCTCGATCCTTCGATGAAACCTCATTTGAGGCTCTCCTGCGGCGAGAGTCTTCTCTCACAGCTCGAGTTTCGCTCCAGCCTCGCGACGGCGTTGAAACTGTCCCTGGACATGGGCTTCATCCGCAACAGGATGGTGTTGCTGCAAGTAACGGTGCTTATGGCTTTCTACACCGACAGATCTTCGGCGAGCGAGATTTCAACGGCGTACACCGCGCAAGCTGTTCAGCTGTCGCTTACCCTGGGCCTCCATCTCGGCTGGCCTGGCGACACAAGTAGCACGGAGAAATCTCGAAGGATTTTCTGGTGCGTCTGGACCTTGGATCGCCTGAATGCTACTGCAAACGGGCGACCCATCACGATCCATCAGCAGGATATGAACATGAGGATCTTTGAGGCGATACCAGAGCAACAACCCTCCTTTCGACTCTTCATCGACATCACGCAGTTTCTTGATGCTGTCATCTCTCAATACCGCCCTCATGCGACTCCAGATTGCCAATCTTTGACTGGCAAAGTGCACTCGTTTGAAACCTTGGCTCAGGAGGCAGATGCTCTAGACATTGGCTTCTCGTTACTCGGTGAGTTGGTTCGAATCGAGAGACAGTACTGAGGCAACCTTTGAGCTTCGCTAACCTGGCACTTAGCTTCCCTGGAGATGTTCTATCTCTCGGTGGTCATCTTGCAGAGCCGACCACACAAGGGTGATAAATCGCCTGAGCGCGTCCCTTTGTCAGCGCTTCAGATATACAGCGCCTCGAGCATCGTTTCCGTCGCTCTTGGGGAGTTCAAAACCTCAATGACCTTCTGGGCCATCCTCCCATATGCAGTGTCCATGGCCACTTCAGTAGCCTATCAGAGCCTGCGAAATAGTACCGTACCCTACAAGCGGAAACAGGCGTACAGTTTGTTCCATAGCAGCTGCGACATCCTCGAAAAACTGAGTATATCGTTCCGCTCCGCCTGCACAATGGCGAAGCTTGCCAATGATACGTTACAGGAGGTCGAGAGGGTGTCGGGAAACAGGAACAGGGCCAACAAACTGTCAAACAGCAGCAGACAGAGCGTTGCGAGAGAGGTGGAAGCAACCGGCGAGACTACCCAGACAACAACGGCGGCCGTCGAGCCCGAAGAACGTGAGGCGACACAAGGCACGCAAGTACGCCAAAGGCCTTGGGCGGAGGCTTCGTCTGTTCCCGTGGCCAGCGCTTACACGGCACCCTTGCCTGGACAGCCCAATCTTGATCCATCTCAAATGACAGTGGGCACCACTCCGTTTGAGAACATGGACTTTACAGATGTCCCGGGAATATTCGAGGACTTTGACCCAGATTTCCATCTCAACCGCATCGATGCACTATTTTCGGCCACCCTGGATCCAACCATGTCATTTATGCCAGATGAGTGGTTTCAAGAGGGTGCTTTTGAAGAGTACCACTAAGTGGGCACAACGAGGACGAGGTGGGCATACCACAGACGCGCGACCGCCAACCGAGCACCCACTAGACATCCCCGGACAGGACTGACTCTTCACTGCTGTTCATCTGGATCGGTCACAAAAGCCACTGACGTGGAAAATGCTGGGGCGCCGCGTGATGTCAGGCTCGCGGGGCTCCCTAATTCGGTTAAACCCGACCTCTTAGGCTGGCGGGATTCTGTAAATGGCATTCCGCGCACGCGAACTTCCTTAAACGGCAATCGCGGTTCATCCTCAAGCGATCTGCTTTCCTTAATAAGTTCCCATATGAGGATGATGAACTGACTGCGTGCTGGAATAAAACAATTGTCAAACTTGTATACCATGGTGCTCATGGGTTACCATTTCCGCCTTTTCTTTTTCGCCTGAACAATACTTCTAGCATGTCAGCCATAACGAGATGTTCTCGCCTTCAACCAGCCTCGATCAGGCTAGGCTTGTCACAGTCGCAGCGCCGGTTTGTAGGTGCTGAGGCCACGGCATCTGCGCGCAAAGAGGGCGATATTTCATCCGTTTTCAGGTCCCTCTCCGGCGCCGGTGACGAGGTATTGCCCACGAGGTTTGCCGACGTCAAGAGGGCACTCCTCCGTCGCAGTCCAAGCAGAGAAGTCCTTCATGCGAGCTGGGATCGTCTCCTGGAGCGTCTCAGGGTTGAGACGGAAGAAATCAAGGCCAATAGAAACATTATTGTGCCCGAGATTTCATTCTCTGACTTGGCAAACCCTTCATCTTCCTTTAACGAGGCATTCCGAAAACGAGGTGTTGCCGTCGTGCGCCAGGTCGTACCAGAAGATGAGGCTCGTTCCTATAAGACCGAAGTAGAAAAGTACATTGCCGCGAACCCTTCTACGAAAGGTGAGCGCGACGAGGAAAGAAACGTCGCAGTCATGGACTAACAACCTTCAGCCTTCCCTCCTCATGACCCCCAGGTCTTTGAGCTGTACTGGTCCAAGTCTCAACTAGCGGCACGCTCTCATCCCAACATGCTCAAGACGCAAAAGTTCCTCATGTCGTACTGGCACTCGAAAGACCCTCATGCAGAGTTCTCGTCTGACCAACCCCTTACGTATGCCGATCGTCTCAGGATCCGTCAGCCTGGCGACGCTGGCTTTGCATTGGGCCCGCATGTCGACGGCGGCAGCGTTGAGCGATGGGAAGATGATGGCTACGGCAGGGGCCACGTCTACGACAAGGTCTTTGAAGGCTCCTGGGAGGAATTCGATCCCTGGGAGACAAGCACGCGGCTTGATGCTGTCTCCAACCTGTACAATGGCGCCGGTTCATGCTCCATGTTCCGAATGTTCCAGTAAGACTCTCCAATCATCGACCATTCGCAGTCATTTGCTCACATTTGTCGCAGGGGCTGGCTCAGCATGTCACACACAGGCCCTAAAGAGGGAACTCTACTTGTCAACCCCCTTTTCAACCTCGCCACCGCATACTACCTCCTCCGGCCATTCTTCACATCCAAGACACTGCCGGCTCAGGACTCCGTCACTGGCGAGGGTGAGCAGGTGTACCAGCCTGCGTTTCTGGATCCGAGCAATTGGAAGTTGGAAGACACAGTCACGTCGACCCTCCAAGGCGCTTGGCCCGGGAGCGGCCAAGAGCTCAACCACGGCTGGCACCCCCACCTGAACCTCCCCTTCACCATGGTCCACGTCCCCCGCATCAAGCCGGGTGATTACGTCGCGTGGCACTGCGACACCATCCACGCCGTCGACAAGGTGCACCAGGGCACGGGGGACTCGAGCGTTCTCTACATCCCTGCGTGTCCGACCACGAGGCCGAGCCTTGACTACGTGAAGCGGCAGCGCGATGCGTTCGAAGCTGGCATTCCGCCGCCGGATTTCCCGGGCGGTCTCGGCGAGAGCGAGCACAGGGGCAGGCCGGGTGTGCAGGACTTCAGGTCCATGGCGGACGGTGCGGTGCGGAAAGCTGCCGGCTTTGCGGCGTTTGATGCTGCGGCGTCTGCGACGCAGGCGGAAAAGGATTTGTTGCAGTACGGGAACAAGGTTTTGGGGTTGTAGAGATGGAAATGCGCTTCGGAGTTGATGAATTGATAATTTGTTTTGGGGACAATTTTTGTCCAAGGTTAATCTCGCCATGCTTGTACTGAAGATTTCCTTGAGCTCGTAGTATGGCGGATAATTATATGAGAGATAGGCGGCAGGTCATGACCATGTGCACTCCGCTCAGCTCCAGTATGGCAGAACTTCCTGTGTCAACTCAATGTTGATCCGCGCAGAGTGTCTCAGGAAAGTTGGCAGGACCAGATCGCACACAGGCATCGTCTTGAACATGATGGTCTTTATATATACATGCTACGCTAGCGACACGAGCTCCAGGGCTACGCCCGCGACTCGGGTCATATATACAGTCCTCCGCTCTAGTTCTCGCCGTTGACCTTGGCAGCGTGCTGGTAGATGAGGACGTCGGCCTCGGTGTCGTTGAGGTAAATGGTGAAGCCGTCGTTGTGGTTGCAGCCGTACGAGTAGCCGCAGTAGCCGTACTGCCAGTACATGTCGGGCATGCCGCCCTCGATGGACAGCTCCTGCCAGTGGCTGATGACCTCGAGCCTCGTCTCGTTGCGGACCTGGCCGAGGTACTCGAGGCGCTTGTCGGGCTGGAGCCAGCCGTACTCCTCAAAGACGACGGGCTTGCCGACGTCGCGGCCGACGGCGGCGTGGTCGACGATCCACTGGTTCGACCACTCGACCGTCTTGCTCCACCAGTCGGGGTAGAGGTGGAAGGTGCCAAAGTCAATGTTCTTGAGGGTCATCTCGTGGTCAAAGTCGGAGCCGTCGGCGCCGTTGTAGGCCCAGTCGTCGGACTCGCGGTTGAAGGCGCCCTCGCCGCCCCAGGTGATGAGGTGGTAGGGGTCGATGCTGCGGACAAAGGTCGACATCTCGTCGGTCCAGGCGGACATGACGGCCGGGTTGCAGCCGGCGGGGCTGCGGGGGAGGTTGCGGACGCCGTCGGCGCCGCAGCGGGGCTCGTTCATGAGCTCCCAGGCGAAGATGGTGGGCGAGTCCTTGTAGCGCTCGACAAAGGCCTTGACGTAGCGCTTGTAGGCGTCCTTTATCGCGGGGACGCGGTAGAACTGCGCATGTTAGTGCGAGTCGAGGAATGGGAGAAATCCCCAAGCCCAACATGGGATGAGGGCCAGGGACCCAACATGGGATAAGGGAGAGGAACATACATCGTCGTGGTACTTGCCGCCGAGGTTGACGGTGTACACGTCCATGCCACCGTAGTCGGCCCAGTTGTTGGTGAAGGCGACGAGCAGCTTGATGCCAACCTTGGTGGCGGCGTCGACGACCTTGTCAAAGGGCTCGAGGTTGATGACGGAGGTGCCGTTGTCGTACCACTTTTGCAGAATCACCTCGGTGGCGCCGGCGCCCTCGCCGCCGTACTTGGGCATGCCGTTCTGGAAATCCGAGGTCGCGTTCTTGTCGTTGAAGCCCCAGGTGCGGAACACCTTGAGCCCGGCGTCCTTGGCGGCGGTCAGACCAGCCTCGACATCAGCTTGGTTCTAGCGCAGCAGCGTGTCAGTGTGAATGCTTCTCTCTCGTTCTGCAGCTGTTCCGCCTCGCTTCAGGACCAGGAGAAACTAACGTTGTCAAAGGGGAAGTAGTAAGCATTGCTGCCGGCAAAGGGGAAGTCCTTGCCGTCCAACCTGAACTTGGTGCCCTTGGTCGTGACGAAACCCTTGGGCACACAGCGCGCCATGGCGCCAGTGGCCAGCAGACCGACGGAGAGAATGTCGAAACGCATGGTGAAGATGTAGCAAAGGATCGGACAGGCGGATGCTGACAAGGGAAGGTCAAAGCGAAGCGCGTCTCGAGAAACCAGACGTGACGATCCTCGTCGGTTCCCCAGAAAAAGAAGGGGCAGGCCAACATGTTCAACTATTTATTCAATGCGTCGCAATGCCTTTTTTTCTCCTCTCCTCGCCACCCCGTTCTCCAACACTGCATCCCCGGATTGTGAATTGACCAATGGACCACGGCGTCATCTCCAGGCTCATGAGCTAGAGCACGGAAGAAGGCTGCCCGCCCCCCAGAAAAACACAGCCAACACCCAGGCGCCGTTGACCCGTTCGCCCCATCGCCCCATGGGCCCATGGGCCCCAGCGGCATCACCACGTCGGGGGGTAATCATGGCCCATGGAGTTGACCAGGGGGTAGACGAAGAGGAGGTGGCATGGGCGGTCGGAGGGTTGGAGGCATGGAGGCATGGAGGGTTGGAGGGTTGGAGAGCTGGAGAGACATGAGAGGAGGCGATGGAGGGCGGAGCGACGCGGTCCGCGGTTCCGACAGGGTTAGTCCTCCCGGCGGCCACCCCGGACCCCTGACCGCGGTCCGCCGCGCCGGTTCGCGTCCCCAAGCTCCACCACCGGCAACGCCACCCTCCCATTGGCCCTGCCCCGGGTCCCGGGTGCCTGAACGGTGCTTAACCGACTCGATCGTTGTCTTTGACTCGATTGTTGTCTTTGACTCGATCGTTGTCTTTGACTCGATACCGTTGTCTTCGAGTCTTCGTCCCATGTGCCCGTGTGTCTTCTCCCATGCCCCTCTGTCTTCTCCTCGCGCTCCACCACGGTAGTAACGCTCTACTAAGGTGTCGTTCGACAACCCTGACGACAGCAAGCGACGAGACAGCGCCGAAAGAAACATGCCAAAACGTGCCATGATCGACTTGACCCGCGAGGGGTTCATCCGTGGTACGGATCTCGGGTTCTTGTCTGTCTTATTGTCCCCCCGCCCTCCTCTTGTCTTCCCCTCACTTCCCCTCATGCTTCGCCCCACGACTGCTTGTTGTTCCTCCGGCTGCAGCCAGCCCACACCCCTCGCCCCCTGGCATCTTGGGCCTGGATTTCGGTTCCCCGGCCGGGTCAATGGCATGTCAGTGACGCAACGAGGGGGTTGCATGTTCAACGAGGTGGTTGCATGTTCCTGAACCCGAGTTGATTCATTGGCAGCACGTGGCACACGGAACGTGCAGCAAACGTCGTCCAAAGACCTGGCTGCTCGGTCAGACGCTCGCATCAAGATGCGCCCGATTAAGATGCGCCCGATCAAGATGGGATCAATGTTTGCTTGTGTTTTGAACCTATCAAGACAGCTTAAAAATGTACAGCTTGGTTCACCGGCAGCCCAACCAACGCCTTCGTTCGACTCGTCGCCCTGGTCCGTTTGCGCTCTGGACCGGATCGTTCGTTCGTTTCCCTCTCTCGTCCATGTGAGCCCCAAATGGAGCAAGTGATGGAAGCGAAAAGCAATCCTTATTGGTGCCGCCCTCTTGGCGATGATCCACCTAGCAACCGCAGACCCTGAACGCCAGACAGCTGAGAAAGAAAATTGAAACCCTGATCCGTGACTTCGTTCCTTCGTTCTCATCGCGCACGCGCATGGCTCATATCGTACCTTCACTCTGCTCGCTGACGGCCCGGCCAAAGCCCCCAACTCCATGGGTTTCGATATTCGTTCACTCCACGTATGCACTCCCGCTTAGTGCACCCCCCGTCCCTAGTTCGTGTGAGTATGTCTGATGCTCGCACGTCGAAGGTTTTGCATCATCTGCTCCACCAACGCCATCGAATCGTGGGGCACCTCCGGAAAACCCACCCTGTCCATATCGTCAACCTCTGCCGACGTTTGCGTCGTTGCCATGGGCGCCCTGACCGGCGGCAGTATCGGCGTTTCCGAGATTGCCTCGCCTGTGTATCCCGAGGGCTTCGACACAGGATTGCCAGCTGAGAGAACCTGCAAAGCCTGCGGAGGCAGTGGGACCGGTGTCACCTTGACAGGAAGTCTCGGTAAAGGCACCGGCGTCTCGACGGCAGCTCTATTGGAGACCTGCGTCGGTTGGGAGGGTGGCCGGGATGGAGTGCCATTCTGTGTATAGGCAGCTGAGGCTTGTTGAGCGGCAGCAGCTATCGAGTCAGGGCTCGTGCTGGTTTGCGCTGGTACCAAAGGCTGCGCTGGGGTCGAGTCGGGAGTCGAAACCACCGTCTTGGTGGGTGAAGCGGTAGAGGCGTGGCCGAACATTGCTCCACTGGCTTTCGTTCGTGGTGTCGAGTTGGCTGCTTTCTGATGAGGAAGAGGTACAGGCGTCTCTGAAATTCGAGCCGTCTTGCTCTGTGCATTTGGCGATTGTGCAGAGCTGGTGGAACCTAGAGCACCATTGGACGTAGGAGAAGGCAGTGTACTTGTAGGTGCCCTGGCGACCTCTGGCGTTTGAGGCCGAGCCTGGGGCGCTGTCTTTGTCGGCCCTGGTGTCGGTGTCGGTGCCGGACCTGTCTTGCTGCGCGCGGCTCGATACATGGCTGGCAGCGGCACAGGAGTCACCTTCTCGGGAATCTGATATGTGGTTAGTCACGAAGAAGACAGAATATGGGAGCCAGGGGTCGAAGAGTTGACTACCTTATACTGCACCTTCGGTGCTTGTGGCTTCGAAGGCTTTATCTCAGATGTAGATTCTTGATTGGAGGGAGGCTGAGGGGCGGGATTCAAGGCAGCCTGTTGACTATACTGCGGAACGCCAGGGGAAGCTCCGGTGCCAGTATAAACAGCGCCCGGGCTTGGCATCGGCGCCGGTGTCGTTGACGAAGCGAAGCCGGTTACGTGAGGCGGCACCCCCACCGGCGCTGACGTTGAGCTCAGTTCCGGCCGAGGCGTCGCTGAGTGTGTGTCCGTCGAAATAGGGTTTGCCAGGGGGGCTGCAGCGCTTGCGGTAATCCGATTCGTCTGGTTCGAGGGTAAACCACTGCTTGATGCATGCGCGTGCAAGAATTGTGTCTGTGATGGGACAGCTCTGCTCGCATTGTTGTAATCAACGACGCCAGGCCTATTCGGATGACTCTGCTGCGCATTTTCTCCAGGTTGCGAGAGTCCTAATGCGAGATATTGCTGATGGTAATGCTGAAGAACAGACGTTTGAGGATGAGATTGGGCAGCTCCGTGCGGGGCGTACGCCAGAGAGGGGCCTGTTGCTGGACCAGAAGAGACAGAATACTGAACGTTTTGCGATTGAGCACGAAGAGCTGGATTGTTGGGCGAAGAAAATGGATTGTTGTTCGTCGCTACAGCAGGCACAGTGGTGTTAATACGGCCGTTGTGATCAGATGGATTGGAAGGTGGCCGGCTTGGCTGTTGCACTGTGGGAAGACTACTGTCTTGAGTTGCATTGTACGGAGTGTGATATCGACCGGGTCCCCTGGCAAGTGTGTGAGCTGCTGGAACACGAATACTTTCTGCAGTATGACTGGCTATGTTGAAGTGGACTAGGGAAAGGGGTATAGGGAAAGGTGAACTTACGTTTGAGCCTGGTCGGCTGTGAAGCTGGCTGGCGACTGCTGCAGATGCTGAACCTGCACCTGCTGCTGGGCTGCGTTGTAAGGCTGACTTTGCTGTTGCGATTGTTTCTGCGAGTTGGTCGCAATTTGTTGCGTGGCTGCATATTGCGCTGGAGAGACATGCGCTGGCTGTGACGGAGTGCTTGACTGCTGAACCACGGGCTGATACTGGTGCACCTGGAGCGGTCGGTTGCTGTCTGTGTATGATGTGCCCTGTTGGCCCTGTTGGCTGCGTTGCTGGCTATTGTATTGGCCAGATTGATACGGTGACGGCTGGTTCATTGAAGAAGGCGTTGACCAGGTTCGTTGCTGCTGCTGCTGCTGCTGCTGCTGCGGTTGTCCATAGTTCGGTGGCGCATTTCCTTGCGCACCATAGGTGGCGGTCTGCGGGTTATAGGCAGGAGCATAAGAGGGGATAAAGCGATGCTGTGAATACTGGCTTGGTTGAGGGTACTGTTGGCCAGCGATCCGAGAGTCAACGCCATAGCCCGGCTGCTGGCCTTTAGGCGCAGGAGATGGCGAGTTACTCATTTTAAGAGCAAACTGTTGATTTGTGAACTGTTGCGTCTTGAACCAAGCACCGTCGATGGGCTTGCGCGGCTTGTACACGTATGGCTTCTCAACGTTGACTGCGTTGGGCAAAGAGGGCATTGGCATCGGGCCTTGCGCCGGGCCCTGCACGGGGGCCGGCACCGAGGAGGTCGAAAGCGGCGACGGGCGTGGGAGACCAGGAATTGAAGGTCGTTGAGGCACTTGCGACGGCCGACGTTGCGTGACCGATATAGGCTTGGGAGGCTTCGCGGGCTTCGGCAGTGTGTCAAGGTAGTTGCTGCGCGGGTTGTGTCGCTGCAGCGTAGGGCTCTCCGTATACTGCGCCTTCGCCTCGGTCGATGTCTTGCCAAGGTAGTACCACAGCTGCATATCCTTGTCGAGGTCAACTTTAGCCTGACCCTTGTTGTGAATAGGCTCGCAAGTGTGGAATTCAGCCCAGGTGAAGCCGCCGTCCACAAAAGTATCATCTTTCCTTGGCACCTCGTCAACGGCTCGTTTGGCGTTGAGCTCTTGCTTGGCCTTTTGCGAAGTGGGCATCGGAATAGCTTTGGCAGAGGCCTTTGGAAGATGGTAATCGGAGGGATCAGCCACAAGGAGCCACTTCCACTCAACCTCGACGCGGGCACCGTTGGGAAGAATATCCACCAACAGCATCCGCTCATCTTTGCGATTTTCGACAACCACGCCAGCGAAAATATCCCCTTTGAAGTACTGCAGCTGGCAAATTTCGCCTTCCTTGACAGCCTTGGCCGCATTGAGGATGCGCTCGTCGTCATCCAAGGAGTCGCCGTCCACCTTCTTGTCTCTCTTGGTGCGATGGAAACGACAGCTGAACTCAAAGGCTTGCTCCTTGTATTCTGTGCCGTCCTCACCCCAGACGGAGACTTCGGCCTCCTCCACAAACACACCGGCCGCGGCAGCGCAGGTAGCATGGTACGCGCGCGCGCACTTCTTCTGCGAACACTGGAAGCAGGCTCCGCGCTTGGACCGACAGAACAGGCACTTGAGATCAAGTCTGTCCTTGGCGACATTAGCGACATTGCAGACGACCTCTTTGTCGTCGATGGTCTCGATGTAGGTCTCCGGAAGATAATGGGCGCACATGCGGTGCGCCTTGCGTCCGTCGTTGGTCGGAATGAGCTCGGCGGAGGCAAAGTCGTTGGGACAAAGACAGCAAGGTGGCTCGGCGCGTGCCTTAATTCGGAGCCTGATTTTCTTCACCTTCTTCTTGTCCTTGTCCTTTGCGTCACGCTTGCGCTTGCGGGACGGGGCCTTGATCTTGACAGCGCGAGATCCTGGTACATTGGTGGATTCAGGCTCCTCCATGTCCTCATCCTCTTCTTCATCGCCATCATCATCGGTGTACTCTTCGTACTCCAGCTCCTCGCCTCGCAACTTGCGTTCAATATCGTACACGTCGATCCAGACACTGTCCTGCGCCTGGGGACACTGGCATCGCTTGGCGATCTTGCCCATGGGAAGCCATGAGTCAAGAGCAAAGTTGACAGCCTCTGCGCAGTTGTAGCCGAGGTTGTAGCCCGAATGGTAGCCATATGGATATGTGACGACGAACTCTCCAGGATAGGAAACGCACTTGTTGACGGTGATGTTGTAATTCTGCTTCAGCTGCTGTGGCGAAATCAGGTAGCCCTTGTGGCGGAGGAACTGATCGCAGGCCTTGGCGTCAGTCGGCCAAATGTTCTTCATGGCTGCCTCAAATCGCTTGGCGTCGGCCTGCGAGATGCTGTACCACTGCTTCGGCGCGCCAAAGTGCAGATAGTTGATGCTGTAAAGGTCGACATCCTCGAGATGCCAGGCAAAAGTGGCCTTCCACATGCCAAGATAGAGATATGCCGTGTTAACTCCCGGGACCTTGCTGCCCAGGACGTCGAGCAGGTTGGGGAGTTTGTTGAGGTTCCAGGTGTCGGTAGATTCGTCGAAAAGCGTACCCATCAGGTCAGCACCGTAAAGGGGGGGCGCATAGGTCAGCGTCTTCCAGTACGCCCTCTCCAGCTCCTCGCATCTCTCTGGCGTGTAGTCGGACACGTCCATGCGGTAGTCAAAGTCCTTGAAGGCTTCCTCGTCGATCTTGGCAGAACCCTCTCGTTTGCTGTACTTTCGGCGCGCCGAGACGGACTGCGTGGCGCCCTTGGAGGGCCTCACGCCACCCATACGACCCATCCTGCCGACAGTAGGAGCGGCTTCTTCTTCCTCCTCCTCCTCGGCATCCCCAGTCTCGACCGAGTCTACCACAGCCTCCGTCTTGATTTTGCCCTCGTCAGCATCCTCCCTCGGGGAGACGGGCGTCATAGGTCGATCTTCCGTCTCGGCATCGTCGGCGTCCTTCTTCTGCTTGCCGCTGTTCTTGGCGCCGCGCTTGCCGCCGCGCTTCTTCGCAGGGGCAGCCCTAGGTTTCGGCGCAGACGACGCGGCAGCTCGGGTTCGAGTCGCAGGCCTCGGCTTGTCTGCATTGGCGCGGCGCTCGCCCCTGCGGGCGGGCGGCTGGTGTTCGCTCTGCTCGCACAGCTTGCGCCACTGGGGTACGTTGTAGGATCGCTGGTGGAGAATGTTGACCTGTCGGAAGGTGCCGCCGGAGCCCATGATATCCTGCTTGATCGGTTCTCGCACACGGACCTGCTTGACGAGGTCATCGAGTTCGGGTAAGGAGTTTTTCCACTCCTCGGGTGGAATAATCTTGACGATGCCGGACTGCATTCCATAATGGTCTATCTTCTCCATCTACATTTTGGTGAGGTTAGCGGCAATGCTCACAAGGCAGGCACGGGTGGGGAAAAAACGGACAAATCGCTTAAAGTCCTTAAACTGATGCATGGTTGGCCGAAACACAGGGACGGTGCCCGAGTAGTGGTCGGGTTCGACTTGGCCAATATCGTCCTCCTTGGGCGGCTCGTCGGCGGGGTCCACGGCGTCATCGTCCAGTTCGCTGAGCTCGGAATCCGAGCCGTCGGACTTGGCCGCATTGTTGCTATCAGGCGGCGAGTGAAGGAAGGTAGGCTTGGCGCATTCAATGTGGTCGGCGGGAGCATCGTGTTCAGCATTCGCAACGCGGTCCTGGGTGTGGCCGTCTGTGTTGCCGACGTCGTTGGTGCAACCGGTCTGGGTCTGCGCTGCCTCCGGCGCAAGAGAGACCTGGGTGGGCGCTGACGCCAGGGCACTGGGGGCCTCAGTCGACATGATCCGGTGGACTACATGCGATTTGTTGAATGTCGAGGCCGCTTCCGAAGTAATGTTCCCTTTGCGCAGTTATTAAATTCTGTTGGCCGGCTGCTGGTGCAATGCGCGGCGGGCAGGCTGTCGTGTGAATCGTGTGGTGAAGGAAGGTAACCGGCAACTGCAGGTGCAGGACAGTGGGAGGCGATCTAGGCTGGCAGCAGTGCAAAACGCTAAAATCGGAGGTTCGAGGTCTTCGGGACAGAGTGGGGACCAGTGACGGCTTTGATTGGACGGGTTTGATAGCAGGACGGAGAACGTATCTCTGCGGGGGGGGGACTGTAGGGGGAAAGGAGTAACTTGATCCACTACAGGAGGCCACGCGCTCCCTGGGTGGTCTGATGTCCAGGGGATCTGGCCTGACGCCTTCTTTCGATCCAGGGGGCTTGAATGAATGGATAAGCATGGAACTCAGCGCGGCTCATCAATACACCGTGGACTGCAGCGTTGACAGAAGTCTGGTTCACTATTTCCTGTGCAAGTATCACACTGCAGAGGACGCCAGTGATGCCATTGTGTAAGGTACAACCGGACCTTCAGGTGCATCGATCAAACTGGCAGGGAGCGACTCACAAAACGGACCTTCAGGTGCATCGATCCCCTTGCGACGTACCCTTCACAAAACTCACAGAGAAAGCAAGTCCATCCCCTGCGACGTACCCTCAGCCAACCTGCAAGCCTCGATCAGTAGATGCACTACCCTGTACGCTAGTCCTATCACGGCCGGGGAGCCGTGGCCTCAGGCGAGAATTGGGCGGTCGCCCCTCAAATGACGTCTGCCTGGGTCACGGGATGCTGGGCAAAAACCTCACTCCGTACCCCTTGCATTGTAACACTGGGATATGGGAATAGCTTCAGGCATGTATGCTTGACTCCTCGTGACATTTCCCATGATGGAGGTGTTATTCAAACCCCTTTAGTATGCTTCTCCAGGATACAGGACTCTAGGCGTCCCATGTTTCTATCCGTTCTTTTGACTGTCACGTTACATATCCGCCCGAGGACGATGAATATATAAAGATAAGGGAAATGTAGAGAGGTAAGGGAAGCATTGTTCGCGGGTCTGGTGGATTCAATCCTCTGATGAACTCATGGAAGACCATGCGTTGAATCAACTTCATCAATCGCCCTCCCACAAAACAACATCATGTACCCTACCATTTGCTTCCCGAGACAAGACTCGAGATCCAGATGCAAGGCACACAATCACATCTACATGGCCCAATGAGCCTTGTGCCCTCCATCAGATAATCGTGCATCGTCAGGGGTAAGCCGATCTTTGGGATGGCCCGGAGAGATGTGGACAAGGGCTGTCACGCGGGACGTGCCGTACGCCAGGGGCGCTCCGGGTTCTCATCAGCAGAAACAAACGGGGGGCACGCGCGTCGTCGGGGGACGTCGGGGCATGCGTAAGCCCACCTCAGGCCGCAGTGCTGTCGACATGGCTTGCGCCGTCTGCGGCACTCGATGGGGTTGCATCGAGGCCGAGCCCTATGCTAGAGACAATCTCTGATGATGATGAATGGATGCGTCTTGTACGTAATGTAGATGCTCGTACCATTCGAATGTTTTCGAAACGATCTGTTGGAAACTTCAGGTCCCTATAAGGAATCGAGGTGCGAGAGCAACGACTAGGCCACCATAGGTGCCGAGGATAGTGGATGCCTTCAGGCGGCGAACACTGTTTCCAAAAGGTAACTCTGCTATCCCTCACTCCCCGAAAGTGCCACAGCATACTCACTGCGCGGGGCCCAAGCTCGCAACCCAATGAGCGCCTCGTTCCCAGGCACGAAGCCATCACCATGCAGAATACACTCTCGTCGTGGCACGCCACCTTCACAGGCGTCTCGCGAAGCAACATTCAATAGGGGCAACGTCACCTGAACGTCTTGCTCTTCTAGAAGGAACCCCCGAAACCTGCTGCTCTGCGTCTCTCTACTTGAACCACCTCCAATTTTCATGATAGAACGGTGTATCTCGTCGAGTAAAATGGGGAAAAGGCAAAGATGGAAGAGAAAAGATCACACCAAAACACCATGCCAGAAGAAGGAAGAAAAAAACAACAAGTATCATGCACCCAAGGAGATGTGTCAAACCCCCCCTGAAACCCAAAAATCATCATCTCTATCGACATGGCGCGCCAACCAGCAGCAGACAACGCTGTTGAGCATAGCAGGCGGCTTTCTTTTGGCAAAGGAAACATCGTCATCATGCTGCGATGCGGAGGTGACTGGATCCCAAGCCGACAAACTCGAACATGATAGGGATCATGCCCACGCCGAGCCAGGCAATACCTATTGTGCCAGCCGTCAGCGCCTGGCAACACGAACACCAATCATGCAAGGATGGAACATTACACTTACCAGCATACACGACGAGCTTTGTCACAACCTCGACGTCATAACGCACTCTCGGCCTCGTCAGGCGGGAGAACATCTCCTTCTCCTCAGCTTCATCCTGTTCGGGAGAAGGGAAGTCTCTGGCCCTCGACTCTTCGATCGGGCTGGAGACGAAAGAGCCCATCTGCCTCTCGTATTCGCCAATGCCACCATGCACACCGGATGCCGCGCCGCGGCCAGCACGGTCGTCACTGTTCTCCTGGACATCAGCCAGTGCCTCTTTGCCCTTGGTGCTGCCGTTGCTTCCAATGCTCTCCCTACGCCTACGCTCGCGGTAGGCAAGAGCCTCGTAAGCGTCGGCAGCGCTCTGTGGCCCGATCGAGACAGATCGTCCGCGCGTGGCCGGATGGCGAATGGACTCGCCGACGCGGACGATTTCGCGCACAGAGGGGATGAGGTTGTCCATTCGCGAACCTGCGGGAATAGACTTGTATTCGGAGGCTGGGGTGAAGAAGCGACGAGGCAGAGAGTAACCAGCACGCTCGATCAGGCGGAAGAGATGCGGCAGCGCACGCAACAGGGTGGGTTTCATGACCTCACGCCAGGCGAAAATGACGAAGACACCAAAGAAGAGACGAGCGACGAGCACTGGTATGCCGAGAGGCCCCAAGTTGATGGACTGGAAGTTGTGGGCATTCGTGTCGAAAGGGTCGTAAGGGGTCCGGCCGTAGTTCCACGTAGCATATTCGAGACCAATTATGACACCTGCGAAAGCGACGCTGTCATCAAAGCAGGGGCAGTCATCCACTGGCTCTGGGTGAATGCGCACGAGGACAATGACGACGAGGGCAGCGATGAGGACGGCGACCCACGAGCTGGAGTGCATGTAGGCGTCGAGAGGCGGGCCGTAGTAGAACTCGGCCAGGGGCAATCAGGGCGCCAATGACAGAGCCGACCACGACGTCGAGGAAACCCATGCATGCCACAGTACAGGCGGCCGACAACGATGGAGATGGCGTAGAAGTAGGAGAGGCCCTCGAGCACGAGCTTGGTGGTTGCGGAGTACTCCGTCTCCGGGCTGCGCAGAACGAGAATGGCGTAGAGAGCCACCGACACGGCGTTCGTGCTATGCGTCGAGGGAAAGCCGTACTCGAGCGCTGCTGAGCCGGACATGGTGATTCGGTGGAGGGGCGGCGAGAGGGGTCGTGGCAGAGAGCACAAGTCCTTGATGAAGCCGGTGAAAAAGACTCCCTCAGCGAGGATATGGACGAGACTGCAGCATGTCAGCGAAGAGACCGTATGACCCTTGCGCTGGAGAACTCACCCCTTGCCGAACGAGGCATAGCCATACCAGAACAGCATTGGTAGGCCGATCATGAAAAAGGTATGGGTGCCGAGGTTGGCCGTGATGGCAAAGTAGCTATCGAGAGCAGGCGTGCGGGCCCTCTCCTGAAACCATGCAAGGTAGGGCGTCTCCCATCGTACTAAAGGAAGCATGCGTTGTCGGAGGTTGTATCGCCATGGGGGCATAGCCTTCTTGTCTGTTGGGTTCGTAGGCGGTCAGCGATGCTGTGGCAGAGGCTTGTGGCACGCGACACTGGCTAGCTGCCAAGGGGGGGGAGGGGACAGTATGCTTCAGGAGGGGTGATCGAGCCCTGTGCATGGGGACCGTGGCAGTTCTTGCAAGCATGAAGCAACCGAACGGCCAGAACTACAGCTCATCGACCAGCGTGGGACATACAGTGGTCTTGACTCCTCAAGCCGGCGTCGATAACGACAGGTTTGGTGGTGGAGGGCGGGGCATCGTCTTCTCGACGCTCAGCCGCGCCGTTGGGTGTGGAACACATGGGCTGAGAGATGTGGGCATTCGCTCGATCGGTGATCGTGGCACTTCTGAAGAAGAGGGTCTGCGCCGAAGGAGGTCGGTCGTGACCTTGATTGCGACTGGGCGTGTTGCGTGAGGTTGTGTGCCAGTTGTAGGTTTTGGCCGAGGAAGCGGACGAGCAGGCGGGTGGGCGCTTGAATGGTGGAGTTTGCGTCTCGGTTCCTGGCAGGTTCTGGGCTGCCTGGCAGGTACTACTGGGCTGGGGCTGGCGGGCCAAGAACTGACGAACAGGCACAGGCGCTGAAGAGTGCGCACCCACTAAGTTTAGTGTGCGACGCCATCTCCAGACCCTGGCTGCCTGACCGCTTCCGCTGCTTTAGAGCGTACCCAATTCCAATTTATCTCCATATCCCAAGATGACCTGCCTGCGGCACCTTGGCCTTCCTGACTGACAGGTTACACTGGCATGGCATTATACCACAGTTACCGATTCGGAGAATTATCTCGACTTTGCAAAGACATCGTCATGCCCCTGCGGCCCGTCGTTTCTAACCATGAAATACGCACTTGCCTCCGTTCAAAGCAGTGTTCTATCAATCCACCCTCTCCAGCCTCGTTGAGCAGGCCACCGAATTACATATCACCATGAATATCGCAAATGGGGAACTGAGAAAGAGTATGTTGTTTTTTCGCCAGTCTCTGTACCGACCTGATCATCCATGACATCTACAGCTTCTTCTTCACACAGTTGCCCGGCACGACGAGGTCCTTCCGCGAAAAGCAGTCGTCGCCAACACAGTCGAGCTCAAAGAACCTGACAACCTCCTGCGCCTGATCAGGAATGTTGTGATCAACCCCGTCGGCAAGGAAAGCCTCGAAGAACCCCCTCCGACCATAGACGCTCTTCGTCCACCCCGCCTGCGGCGTGTCCTCGTCGACCTCGCGCGGCTCGCTGCCCGTGCGCAGCACCGTCGTCCAGAGCTTGACGGCCTCGTGGTAGTTGGTGGCGTTGATGATGTCGTCGGCCGCGCCGTGCAGCACCTGCATCTTGGGCCGCACGCCGTCGTAGGCGGGGTACGCGGCGTGGACGAGCGCCGCCCACTCGTCGCCCGTGTGCTGGATGTTGCCCTTGGCGCAGTCGTCGGACCAGACGGCGAAGCCGTCGGCGGCGTAGCACCCAAACGGCACGCCGGCAAAGGCGGAGCCCGCGGCGAAGACGTCCGGGTACGCGCCGATGAGGACGTTGGTCATCATGCCGCCGGAGCTGATGCCCGTGACGAAGACGCGGTCGGCGTCGACGTCGTGGTGGGCGAGGGTCCAGCGCACCATGCTCACGATGCCCAGCGAGTCGCCGCCGGCGTCGTGCGAGAGCGTCTGTGGCGAGGACACGTCCCAGCAGTGGTCTGCGTCGTTGGGCGACGAGGGGTAGATGACGATGAAGCCCAGCTCGTCGGCGAGCGGTCGGTAGGGCTTCCAGTCAAAGGCGTTCTGGGCCGAGCCCCAGCACCAGTGCGGGTAGACGAGGAGAGGCGCGTTGGGGCGGACGGCGTCGGGGACGTAGAGGTAGAAGGAGACGTTGGTGGGGTTGGGACCAAAGTCGGTGATGTGCTGGAGCTCGGCGGCCGAGGCCAGACCGACGGTGGCAGCGAGAAGACCAAAGAAGGGACGCATGTTGTCTCGAAGATCAAGGACCCTCAGCTTGGCTGCGCTGGGGGGCCAAGCAATTTGGGCAGAGGTGAGCAGATGGGTCTCTATTTATGGCCCTTCATTTTGGCTCAACTGGCCTCCCCGGATGAACGGCCTTGAAGGGGATCATCGTTCGATCATAAAAGAAAGCGTGCGCCGGCATAAATGATACTGAGCTTGTATGCGGTATCTTCTGGGGTACCGGGTTGGCGGGAGGCCGCGGCGGAGGCGAGCAGGCGATGATCGCGGGGATGGGTGGAAGGGCCTGGCTCCGTTCCCAAGGCGGGAAAGTCTCCGTCTGGCAAGCAGCGGGCTCTTCTGCGATGTCACCTGGGAGGCCACATTCATTTGCTTGCATATGAACAGTCCCTGAATCCTTGTGCCTGCCATGCAGCTTCGTGCAGTGGCTAGACACTTGACGATATCAAAGTAATCCTTGGAGTTTTAAGCTCTCCAACGGCTGAACTCACATCTTCGTTTATCTCTGGTCCAGACGTAGAGCTAAAGCGGCGAGGCGTTGCGCCACACCCAATGCCTGCCCCTGAATCTCCTCGCATTTTCCTGCACTCCAATTGGCCAGCCAGAAGAACTGACGTTGCAGGGGTCCAGAATGGCCCAACCGCATGGGGACGATGACGCTCGTCGCGTTGCACGTTGCTTGGCTTCAAGATATCTTCACTCAGCTCCCTTCTGTGTCCTTTCGATTCTTTGCATCTCAGGACGCTCACTGCGCGTCCATCATCTGAGACAGTGGTTACTACCTTTTCTATTCTCTAAATCTCCATCTGAGCTGCCATTCTCTTCAAAAGATCACCAGTCATCCACCAAACCCAGGTTGAACCTCACCGTCCATCTATAAAAACAAACAACCACAAGCTTGCTCCCTCAAACCAGCATGCCCCTCCTCCCCCTCCTCGGACGCCACGCCCTGATCACCGGCGCCTCCGGCTCCATCGGCGCAGCAATAGCCCACCGCTTCGCCGCAGAAGGCGCCCTCGTAACCCTGACAGGCCGCAACGAGTCCGCCCTCCGCAAGACCCTCGCCTCGCTGTCGCCCTTTCCGCAGGCCCGCCTCTCGCCCATCTCAGCGGCGAAACAGTCGGCGCTGACGGCCGATCCGCCGCGGCACGAGTACAGCATCCTCGACCTCTCGCGCAGCGAGGGCAGCCTCGAGCGGCAGCACGCTGTGCTGGATGCGATCTGGGCGAGGACCGGCCAGATCGACGTGCTCGTCAACGCGGCGGGCGTGGCGCAGTGGCAGCTTCTGCAGAACACGCCCATGGAGGAGGCGCAGGCGCTGATGGACGCAAATCTGCTGAGTGCCGTCTTGACGTCGAGGTACATGGCGCGACAGATGAAGCGCCGCAGGGCCGATCGTGACGGTAATACATTTCGAGCAGCAACGCTCGGGGTAAACCATTCGCTGAGACAAACTCTAGCATGTATCATCAACGTGGCCAGTCTTCTTGCCCACAAGGGCACACCCGGCACGAGCGTTTACGCGGCATCCAAGGCCGGTCTCTTGGGTATGTTACGCTGAGGATTGAATTCATACGCTCATCCGTCTATCTCACAACGCAGCTACATCCTTTCGCTGACGCCCCTTTTTTTCAAGGACTCACCCACGCCCTTGCTGCTGAACTCGCCCCTTTCAAGATCCGAACCAACGCCATCGTCCCCGGCTACATTCAAACCGAAATGATTGCCAGTAAGCCAAGATCCTGGGCCCTCCGAGTCCGCCCCTTGCCGCCCCAAACCCTTGCCCGTGACTACCGCAGGCCGACGTGAGGCCGACGAGTAGTGCTGATGTACAATGTACCGCCCCAGACATGTCAAAAGAGCCACTGGAGAAGCGAATCCCACTCGGCCGCCTAGGTACTTCGGAAGAAGTGGCTGATGCTGCCGCCTTTCTCGCCCAAAATCCATATGCCAACAATTGCATACTTAACCTGGACGGAGGGCTAAGTGCTGTTTGATTGAACTCCCGAAACTTGCTCTTTCATCCAGTGGATTAAAATCAATCATCATCCAGAAGAATCGTCGCGTCTCCGCTTGGATCATCTTCAATAAGGATGATATCATCAGTTGCCGCGGATATCTTGGCCTTCTTTGCCTCGGGGACATCACCTCCGTCATCTGATCGGGCACGTTTACTGCTGGACACTTCCGATTTGTCTTCTAGCGGCCGTTTGCCATTGGTGTTGCTCGACCCGTTGACGACGCTGGTCTCAGGAGCAGGTGCTGCCGTCTTGGGTTTCCGAGGAATCTTTGGGTCTTGATCAATGGTAAGACCCTTGACAGGCTTGTCTTGTGCCAAGTTGGTGCTACTCAATGTTAGCAACGAAGTCAGGAGCGGTTTGGTGCAGCCATACCTCTCCTCAAGGTTGATGACTACGTTGACGAATGTGTCATCATCATCCTCATCAGTAACGGTCAAGAAGGAATCGGCCTTGACACCCAGATCGCTGAGCTTCTTTGGGAGATTCTCTGTCTCCTCAGGATCGAATAGAGGCCCAATCTCGTTGCTCACAGCAAACTCCTTGTCGCCGTAACCCAGCTCGACCTTGACGAAGTCTTCAACCAGGTCTTTCAGCGTAGCCTTCGTAAAGTCAACGAAAGCGCTGACTTGGAAGACGCTGCACACTGGGCACGATGGATTTGGTGGCTGGAACGAGGTTCCCTCAATGAGGCGGCGGTCATTGCTCGGTGCCAGGAAGAGCTGTTTCTAGATAAGCATGGGCTCCTTGCTATGCATTCATGATAGTCACTTACTTCCTTCGTGTGGTTATAATCGCCCTTCAGCACCTTGAAAGACTGCAAAACGCAAAGGCCAGCGACGATAGCGTTTGTGGTCGCAATGGCAGGGATAATGTTGCCAGCCATCTCCTTGATGTCGAATCGTGACTTGCCATCAATGCCGAAGATGCTCGACCGGATGTTCGCCGCCGCTGCCACAAAGTCAAGAGTATCCTCATCGTCCTTGTCGAACGTGATGACAGGCTCTGGTCCTGATGCGTTTTGGTGAGCTGCCTTGAGTTCGAGCAAACGCTTGCTTAGACGATCAAGGCTGTCATTGAACACGGCAAGGTTCTCCTCGAGTGACCAAACCCGCTGGTCGTCGCGCAGAATCTCTTCCTTCGAGGCTAGGGCTTCCGCAGCCTTTCCCATCAACGTCGCGTAATCAAGCGGCTCAGGCTTCCTTCGGGATTTCCACATGTCCTCCATGGACAACAGCCTTACAATATCCGCATTGAAGACCTTGTTGAAGAGCAGTTCAGGGAACGCTTCTGTGCCCAGAGATTCACGAATCAACCTCAGGGCCTCAGCTTCCTTCTTGAGCTCCTCAATCTCCTCCTTGTTATCAGCGTCGGCCGAATGGTCGTAGGTAGACTCGTCCTCGCTCTGGCCAAAAATCTCGCTCAAGAGGTAGCTCTTGCCCCAGACGATGCAATGAATGGGCTGGCTGGGAGTGCTCCGAATCGTGCAGACGGGGAAAGACTTCGCGACAGGCTTCGCTGTGCAGTCGTAGCATGCTGTAACGCCTTTCTTGATGACCTGGACCTGACCCTTGAAGCCTGTCGTTCCACTCTCGATCAAGGGCACGTTGGCGGCCAAGCACATGCGGTTCACGTGCCGCCGGGCTTCGAAGTTGTCTAGTGCATTAAGAACCAAGGTAAATCCACGGAACCACCTTAGGTTGAATTCGGCGTCTTTGATATTGGCGTGATGGGGCACGATCTTCACCCTGGGGTTGAACTTCTGCGCCACCTCGGCGGCTACCATGGCCTTTGACTTTTTGATATGCTCATGTCGGAAGAGGAATTGTCGGTTGAGGTTGCTCAAGTCGATTGTGTCGAGATCGACTACGTGTATTTCGCCGAAGCCGTTGAGGACGAGGTTCTTCAGAAGTTCGCAGCCAATACCGCCAGCTCCTACCATCAATACACGAGCCTGTGAAGTTGGAATTAGCACCAAGCGTTGGTTGCAGGCAGTCGGATAGAGCATTGTCGAGTGCGTTCCTGACGATAGAAGGGGAGATTGTGATGCCATCGCAAACGGGAGGCAGAGAGACAGTGGGTTTCACGCCCGTATTTCGCATCTTACCTGTTTAATGGTATGAAAGAGGGCTGGGCCCAATGACTGTTGGTAGTCCTTGTCACGCGGTTCAGGTACGGCTCGCTGCTGAAGTACGGTTTGTGCTGGTGCAGGTGTAGGCTTTTGAGAGGTAGCAGGTGCGGGAGCGGGAGCGGCAGCAGGCGCAGGAGCAGGCACGGATGCAGGCAGCGGCGCGGGAACAGGCGCGGGCGTCACCTCTTCTACGGGTGTCGCCGCGGTCGGAGGATCCGTGACGGCAGGTGAAGGGACGGGGTCGGTCTTGGGAGTCGGCGCAGGAGGCTGTGTCGGTGTTGTGTCTGTCGTCGCTGGCTTCTCCTCGACAGCCGGTGGCGGGACAGGCGTAGTTGAGGAATCCATGGTCGTCTGTGTCTGTGTGACGCGCAGAAGGTAGGATCGGGACTAGAGGCACGGATGGCTACGTAGTGAGTCGCATTCAAATGCTGGCGCGTCAATCGAACGGACAGTTGATCCAATGAAGATGAAGAGAAGGTCGGGTGGTTGATGCGATTTGTTTGGTGATGCTGCAGGGTTGAAAAGGAACAGAGTTGCCTGCGCTGATCTGCTGGTAGCCTGGTTTCAAGGCGGCAGGTGAGGTTCAGGTTGGTCCGCTGGTAGCTTCTCTGTCGGCCCGCGGGCAGGAGCGATCGGCCTGGTTGAAAGGGCGAAGTTCTAGCCAATACCGGACTTCCAAGGTTTTGGTGACGGGATTCCACCGCGGTGCAGGGATTGGAGCTGTTAGCCTGATGTGGGTGGATGAGCCAATCGCTGCGATCATGATATCATTGGCTGCCGGCTGTGGGGGTCTTCCTACTGGTTGTTCGTCCCTGACAGGCCTTGGAAGGCCCTGGCATTGGGTACCTCCTTCCTTCCCTTAGTAGGTACCTAGGTACCTACCCATCCAGGGAGACCGCCCTAGCTGCAGCAGGCTTCACTGGTCATGTGCCGACGGGAAACATCGTGCAACAGCTTCACGAAAAGGGTTTGAGGGTTCAGATTTCGGTCGAATAACCCGGATTCGAGTTATCCATTCTCTTGTGGTTTCTTTTGTCTCCTCGTAAGCAGGCTGTATGCTGTGACTCTATGCCAATGCACCCCTGGACACTCTCCTTCCCAAAGGTGATCGGTGTCTTTCAACCCCTGAGTGGTCCCTCGTCCGCCTAAAAAACGCCTCTATCAAAAACTTTCCGAATCGCGGGTTTCGTTTTCAGGATCTGCCACTTGCCCTTCTTTACTCTGGATCACATCGCCAACACAGCAGAGACTCGACGGCACCATATCAGCCATGTCAGACGACGAAGCGGACCTTGAGCTCCTGGATTTCCTGCGGCAGCATTTTCAGAGCAAGCTCACCGTCAACCCAGATCCTGAAACAGGGATCCTCGCCGACGCTGAGGCGGTCTACGATGACTCCATTGACGTCGCGATTGACATGCGCGCCACCAAGGCCGCCGCAGAGACGATTCACGCCCAGATGCAACACAAGTCTTACTCTCCTGCAACGTGGAGCCAACATGAGCTGCACCCCAAGGCCAAGGATGAGTCAACACTCGCCTTCATCTTCACAATGGACCTCCTCAACTTCTCCTTCTGGTCCGAGCTGCCCGAAGACGAACGGTTCGCCATAGAGTACCGCGGACGGAAATGGACCGGCTACTGGAGTCTCGTCGCCGCCCTTCAGCGCGCCCTGGAGGAGGGCATCCCCATCACCACGTCCGATTACTGGCAAAACGAGGATGAGTGCACCCTCGACGCCCTGCGCCACGTCTTCCGCTCTGCCACAGATGAGGAGATGCCTCTTCTCTCCGAGCGCCTCGTCTGTCTGCGCGAAGCCGGCCAGGTCCTCTATGAGAACTACGACTGCAGTGTCGCCACCCTCGTCGAGTCTGCCAACGGGTCCGCCGCTGGCCTTGTCAACACTCTCGGGCGCGAGTTTGCCTGCTTCCGCGATGAGCACCGCTACGATGGCCGGAAGAAACCTGTGCGACTCATGAAGAGGGCGCAAATTCTCGTGGCGGATGTGTGGGCATGCTTCGAGGGCGAAGGCTTTGGAGCGTTCAGGGATATTGACAAGCTAACCATGTTTGCCGACTACCGCGTGCCGCAAATTTTGAACTCAATGGGGTGCTTGTACTACAGCCCGTCGCTGGCGACAGCCATCAACAAAAAGTCCTTCATTGAGACTGGGTCGAGATGGGAGCTGCAAATCAGAGGTGAGTTCCGTTTGCCTGCACACTAACAACATGATATGCTAACGATTCCACAGCCTGCAGTATCTGGTGTGTGGAACTTCTCAAGAGAGAAATCTTGAGAAAGTACCCAGAGACGGAAGTGAATGCCATTCTGATAGATTTCTTTTTGTACGATACCATGAAGGAGATGGAAGCTGCGGGTACGGAGACGGTCCTGCATCATAGAACAAGGAGTATCTGGTACTGAGGCAATCTAGAGAGCCTGGGCATGCTATTAGACTCGTTGCGTAGAGCATCAGAAGCTTTTCAGAAAGCACTTGTGGTTACAGAATTCATGATATTTCATCAGAGTCCAATGACTCGTTCGCTACAAAAAAAGTGTGCTCTGTTGTGCAAAGCCAGAAGAGGAAGCCAGATAGTTGGTCCATCGCCCTCGAACGCCCCTTTCAATCCTCAAAACGCCTCGTGCATCACCCACACCCCTCGTGGTAAAGGTTTGGCTCGTCGTATCGTGCGAGACGATGGACGAGCCTTCACGGGTTCCAACCCGCGGAGGGATATCGTACAAAAAAAGAGCAAAGATTACGCTGAGGTCAAGACAATCATGTTGACCCAACTGCTGTGGAGTTGAGAATCACATCCATGTGCGCACGCTCAGATTGACTGCCCTCCTTCTGCTCCTTGAGCAGCACGGCAAGAACCTCGATGGGAGGGTTGAGGCCGAGCTTGTTGGCCCTCTCCCAGCGCCTCATCCGCTGGATTCCGACACAGGGCTGCGTCACGTTAGTCATATGTCCTGCGGAGTGAAAAGCGAGTCGGCATAGAAAGCACACGTACCCCGTACTGCGAGCTGACGTCGAAATACCGCAGCACCTTCTCCCCGGTGCTCAAGTCTTCTACATGCACCCTCTTGGCAATGCGCTCCGCCTCAATGTTCCGCCAGTACTTGTTGATCTGCGCATCGGTCGTCTTCTCGGCGCGGATCTGGGCCTCGTTCTTCTCTGGCACCTCGACCTTGGGTTCCGGCTGCTCCACCTCAGATTCGACCTCAATTTCGACGGCCTCAGGAACCTCCTCTTCCTTCTTGTTGTGCGAAACAATGCGGTCACCCTTGGTGACAGCAGCCTTCTTCAGTTCCTGCCGAGGTACAGGCTTGGAAACCTTGTTGGAAAAGCTGATGGTCGATTGGCCTTTGTTGGGCCCAGGGCGGGCGCGGGCGCCGCCGGTTGATCTGCGAGTTGTCGGCATTTTGGCGGGGTAACGATATTGATTCTTCTGGTTCGCAGTAATTATCTCGTGAGACTTCAGTAAAAGAGATCGCCTTAGGATTGATGGTGTTTGCGACGATAAACAGTTATTTGGGTTGTGCGAACCGATGTTTGTGAACGAAGATGTCCGGACGGTTTCAGTGGAAGGGTAAGCAGTCGCAAGGGGCTGGAATGAATGTCAAAGACCCATGACGAAATGCGAATCTGGCTATGGGCGATTGGCCAGAATTGGCGGGGCAACGCGTCGAGGGAGCGAGATCACGTGAGCAGTTCTGTCTTGAGCATCGAGCAGGATACCAATCAGTCGAGCGCACTGCAATCAATCAATGCGTATTCGCAGTGCTTCTTATGATTCATGATGCATTGGTGGTTGCTCCCACTTTTTTGTAGCCTTCTCGCGGGCCGGAATGCCTACTTCGGCTTACGTACCAGTAGCCTCGCGGTAGAATGAGATACTCCTGTTCGCTCCCGCTGTGCAAAACATCTCGCTCTTTTGTGTCTTGGGCAGCCACTTGACCGACCAAAGCGCCTTGTCCGTCTCGCTGTGTGTCGCAACGCAGGCTCCGCGATCGACGGACCAGACCTTTACCTTGCCGTCCATAGCTCCGCTCAGCAGGTACTCGCCCGTGTCGCTCCAATCCGTCGAGGTGATCCACGACGAGTGACCTGTCAGATTGCCCACGTGTTCGCCATGGTTCATGTCGTAAAGAGCAATAACCGAAGCGTCGCCAGCTGCTGCGAGTCGGGAGTTGCCAGGCGAGAAGGCGACTGACCTAACCGGCTTCGCCAGGCCTGAGAGTGTCAGTGTACCTGCAAACCGCCCACCCAACCTCGGACGTACCTGATAGGGAGTGTTGCAGCCGCCCAGTCTCGTTGTTGAAGACGTAGACAGCTCCGCTCTCGTGTCCGCTCGCAGTCAACTTGCCATCCCGGCTCAGGTCAACGCACATGCCGAAGCTACCTGACCCCGCGCTTCCCGTCTCGTACTCCTGGACCCTCTTCGTCTCCTCGCCGGAGACGTCCCAGACGTTGATGCGGCCGTCATATGTCGTGCCGGCAAGGAATCGTCCGTTCTCGCTCAGGGCGACGGCCCATACCTCGCCTGCCTTGCTTGCCTGCGTGATCTCCGTTTTGAGGTTCCACTCGCCCGTCTCGGGCGTGACGATCCAGACCTTGACCTCACCGCCGAAGCCCGCACTCGCCGCTACCTTGCCATCCCGCGAGGTGCAGATGTGATGGCATCCAAGCTTATGCGCACCACTGATAGACTGTATGATGGGGAATGACTGGTCGACCGTGTCGTGGACGTTGATGGTGGAGGAGCCGCTCGCAGACAGCAGGGCTTTCGGTGTCGCTGCTAGTCCAAAGATGTCTGTGATGTGGGCTGGAGTAGATTGATCAGCAAATCGATGCGAAAGGTCGAGAGGCAGGTTGCGCATACCGTTGTCCACCGTGTGCATCGTCAGGTATTGTTTCGACTGGAGGCACCATGGTCAGTAAGGCTGCGGTAGGGAGATTCAGGGCGGCCAGGCTTTACCATCTTTCAAGCCACGGCGCAGGATCGCCAGCTCTTTTGACCTTGCACAAAGAAGAAACGGTCTGCCTCGAGCTTTGTACCTCGTAAGGGGGGTGTTGCGGTACGAAGAGACGGGCGTCCTGGGTCGGCGCACACAGTTGCCGTTGATGCTGGGGCGATCGGTGGAGCTCTACAGCTGGAAGTTATGGAGGGGCAGTGGGCAAGCCTGCACGCGGGGCCTAATTATGACGTCCTGCGCAGCAGAGCACAGCACAGTCAGGTAGCGCTGAAATTTTGACAATCACGGCCCGGCACTTCAAAGCTACGAGAAACACCCGGTGCTAATTTTTGGCAAATATCGAGTAGGATCTCATGAACTCCGGGACTTGAGTAGAAAAGCGGGTAGTCTATAGTTTGGCTTGCCGCCTGTTAATGTCATCAACAACCGGTCCGGTCTAATGGTCTAATGGTTATGACTGCGGATTCTGATTCCGCCAGCCCAGGTTCGATTCCTGGTTGGACCTAATTATTTGGAATCGCTTCGAGCTGGATTCCACTCGAAATGCGTGAACTTTTTGGATATGCAATTGGTTTTTGATCCTCCTTATTATGCTCTTTGGGGTCGGAGAAGTCACGTCATCTTTTACAAGAAGTACATGTGATACTCAGATACAGAACAATGTCAAACTTGGAAATCGATGTCGTCGGATTTCCTAATAATCAAATCCACGATATCTCACCCAAAAAATTACATTACATACGTCGTTCCCAAAAGACTCGTAGTCTTCAGGCATCACCCATACTATCCTTGCTTCTTGTTAACCTATTGTACATTTTTCCTGGCAGCGTAGGAGCAAGTGATCCTCAGTTCGAGGCTGCGGCAGTTGATTTCCGAGTATTCCTCGATCTACCACAAGCACACATGCAAATCGCAGGGCGTAGCGAACCTCCGACTCAAGCGAGACCAAGGAATTTCAATGCCTTGTGGCTATTTCCCTTCTTCAAATGGGGCTTCGACATGAAAATGGGCATGAGCCGCCTCTCCTCCTGGTCGTAATCGCTATCGTCCTCAAGGTTGAAAGTAAAGACAGAGGTCGAGTCTGTCGTACAGTCCGTTGCGGGACCAAAAGTACCGCCGCTTTTACGTGACTTTGCTCTTCGACTGCGCGACGATTTATTTGTCTTGACTGTTTCGGCGAACGAGGGCGCTTTGGATGACATTGCGGGCGAGGGCGGTCGGAGAGGATGGTTGCCCCTCGGCGGAGGGGGTAACATCTGCGGCGGTGGCGATAATGGAGGGCTCTGAAGCCCCATGGTCGTTCTCGGAAATGGGGAGAAGGAGGCAGAGATAGGCGTCGGAAGTCGCTTTCCCACCTTCTGCCTCGGTGGCTCGTCGGACACGTAGAAACGTGACACATCAATGAGCAACTTGCGGATCGTCGACACAAAGTTTCCAATTTCCGCTTCAGTCGCTGTTGATGTGAGGAGGAAGTTGGCTCTCGAAACTGCAACACTCTCAGGAAGAACGATGGATGAAGCCTTCCTGTGAAGGGGCCTTCCCTGGGGGGAAGTTGAACCTGAGAGGTTGCCTTCTTTCACATTCGTGATCGAGGCACCTCGAACGTGATTGAACGGTAGAGGCTCGTTAGCATCCGAGTTCACTATTGCTGCGACCTTCATAAGGTCCACGCCAACAAGTTTCTGAAGTGCCAAGACTGTGGCTAGATGATCTGGAGGATATTCCAAGATCAAGAATCGCACCTCGTTATGAATGACGAAGTAAGGCTCCAGGTGAGGAACAATTAGAGTCGCGAGCAAGTAAGGATTCGTGAATGGGTTTTCGTGCGTTTGATTCGCAAGTGGCTGTGCAGTGAAAGCTTGCATAGCGTTGGCAACAAGATATCTGTGCTTCTGTCAGCGAACAACCTAGGAGGCAAACACCACTGTGCATACCGGAAATCAAGCCGCCCGCTTCGGCTGACTTCGCCAGATTTTACTCCCAGTTTTTCAAGCTATTTGATTAGATTTGACAAGTGAGTCTTTTTGACCCCTCGACGTGCTCCTACAGCTAGAATCTGGTCGATTCTGCGCTGACCATTGCGGGGACTTTCCGCGCCGGCATTGCGGAAGACGGGCTTCCAGAGGCCACCCATCTCTGGCAGTATGGAAAAATGAAAGTGGTGATATCCTTGGTCCTCCGGAGGGAAATGGACGTTTAGCAGGACCCGCAGAGAGTTCTGGACAGCAATCGCTGTCTTGCAACCTGCTATGTCGCAGCTCTGGAACCTTTTCTCCCCCAGTCCACAGATAGAAGACAGAGAAGATGGTGTGTGTGCTGGGGTGGGTGGAGTTACAGGCTTCAGTTTTAGTGGTAAACGAGTTGTGTTTGCAGGTTTGAGGGGTGTCGGACCGTAGGCAAATGGATCGTATTCGTCTGGATCTGGGCCGAACGACAGTACTGACGCAGAAGGATTGACAGAGTCCTCAGCAGCAGTCTCGATGCCGTGGAACTTGGGTGCCTTTACGACTGATTCTTTCCGAGCTACCAATTGCTCGGACGGTTCTGGCGTCTGGATTGGATAAATACCCGCTTTGAATGCGCTGATGGTAGCCTCGAGGACATTATCGTCAGCTCCATCCTGAATCTTAATCACAAGATCTTCGGTAAAGGGCAGCACGGGCCGGAAAGGGGGCTCAGGAGATCGAAAGTCTTCGGCATCTGTGCCCTTGTCAACATAAGCGCCGTTGGCCTTTTTCTTCGGTTTTGGTGGTGGAGGAGATAATAAGACAATAGGACGATCGCAGCGAACGTGTATTGTTCTCGGCAGTGATGTTTGCAGCAGTGTCCCAACATTGGAGTTACGTCGGCCATCTTCTGACAGAGCCTTCCCGCTGTCGACGCCGGCCTGACTCTGAGCTTGGGGCGGGGAATCCCAGTAGCTGTCCCCAGTTTGGTATGCTCGGTCAAGAGATTTCGTTCGCTTCGTTGATCGTCGGGCGTTGGCCATCTGCATCTGCATCAGAGAAGCCTCTCCATATACAACTGCGTCTGTAGACTCTATGCTGTGACCCGAGCGGGGCGAGAGCATGTCTGTCGTAAATAGACGACGTGGTGATATAGTCTGGTGCTCGTATGTCTCTCCTACGCAGCTCGGTGACCTGAGGGGCTGGAGAGAATTATCCACGGCCTCGAAGGTGGCTATGGTATCGGCCAAACTTTCGCCGAAATCGGTGACTGCAAATCTCGGGGTTGCTGGAAGAAAGGCGTTTCTGGTATTGTCATCGATACAGTCATCGTCTTCGGAAGATCTGACTCCAAAAACGTAGAACGGTGCAGCATCGCCGAATCTATCATCGAAGCTGTAAATGGGAAGACTCATACTCCGGGGTCTAGCCTCGAAGGTAAGGTCTACGTCGGTATCTGGTTGCAAGTCGGCTGTCAGTCGATCAAGGGCTTCAGCCGCTCGCATGGCTCTCACGATGGGGTCTTCTTCCGGTATGTGGTGTCTACCATCCTTCTGTCGAGAAAACCAGTCATCTTCGAGTCCAGCCGCGCCATGCTTGACAATGTCATTGAAAAGAAGCTCGGCATGAGAGATATCGCCGTCGGTCTCATGTTCAGCAATCGTTTTGATGCAGATGGCCTGGGCGCCAGGTGTGCTGCCGTTCATGAAGACCAGTCGCTTGTTGGCTGGGGTTGAATCTTTCAGAAAAGAGTAGGCAACCTCATTCCGCGCAGTGACAGCATTGTGCATTCTCCTGATGAAGTTCCGAGCATCGAACCTCTCGCTTGGGTCTCCATCCTCAAGGTAGGTCTGGACTTGTGGCAGGATGAAGATTTGTGGTGAGGTGGGGAGCAGACGTAGCTGGGTGGCAAGAACGTCGACCGGGCCCTCGAGAGAGACCAAAGTGCCATGATATCGAGTGGTATCGTCCATGGTATGTTGTGTGAGATGCGAAGTTGTCTGAGAATGGAAAGAGTGATGCTTGTTATGAAGGTACGGTTGAGGGATGCAGCTGAGGGATGCGGCTGAGGGGTGCAGTTGAGGGATGCAGTTGAGAGCATTAAGATTATCAAGACGATGAAAAGAACCGAGAAAGAGAGTGGCAAATGCTGATGAGAGTATCGAACGGGCACATTCTCGAAGACCAGGGTGAAGTGCAACAGTTAAGAAAACGGGTAAGGAGATGCAAGCCAGACCAAGCCAGTCGAATTCGACAAGGAAGGGGGGAGGACGATGCACACTAGCATCAACGAAGAGAGCCCCAAGCGAACAACTGAATCGGGCGGAAAGCAACACATGTCGTGCGTCGCCATGCAACAAGGAACCTTCACCTTTTGTTGATGATGGAAGGAGAGACAGAGAAGAGTGAAAAGGGACGAGGTGCCACACAGTTGGCTCCTGCCTTAGCCAATACGACCCAACACTGTCCTCGTCCCCAGCTTCCAACGCCGTGCACATGGCTTAATAGGCGAGTCGGCTGAAGCAAGGTATTGTCTTTTTAGAATGGTACATCGGTTGAGCTAATTGCAGAGGAAACATCTCCATCACGGTCGAGCGCAGCCCAACTTGGCCATATCATGGCCCGTTATCGGCTGCGTGGAGAACGAAGAGGGTATGGCGCCGAAGCAGTGATCAGGATGCCCTGGTCAGACAGGGTAGGTTCGACGCAGTAGCCGCCCGATGTACAGCTACGTACTCAGACTACTACATCATGAACTCGTTGGCTGGAAGCTAACATCGCAAAATTATTCAAGGGTGGCGGGTGCATGCAGCGGAAGACCTTGGTGGAAGAGGCATCTGGCCAGATCCCCCCCCCATATCGTCACCATGTGCTTCGAAAGCAGAAACAGAAGCTTCCAAACGGAGGACCGAACCAACCTGGGCATTGCCTCCGAAAAGATCACGACAAACAGATCGTGCCCACCAAGAACCTCATCGCGGGGTACCCTGGCATCAACATGGCGCGAGTCTCCATGCTTCAGAGTACCTCCCTTGCCATGCAGGTACCAACAGGCGTGCTGGGATTCACCCTCAACAAGATGCATGCATGGAGAGAGCGAGCCAAGTGGAGGAAACGAGGATGCTGTAGGGACCAGCCCCACGGCAGAGGGGCCAAAGCCCAGGTGCAGGAGTGAGAACCCGTCCAAGCCAACAATGTAGACGAAACAGACTGCTGTACGGCCCGGCTCCAGCTAACGGTAGCGGTGTGCCCCCCCCAGAACAAGCTCGATTGCACGACTCTCACCTCACGTTTGTTTCCAGAATCCATCGGGACGGTGGACCAATAGCGGCATGGGCCGAGTCGATGCAACCTCATCCCTTGGGCGTGGCTCGCCGTCTTTACTCGCATCACACGACAGCGGCTGTGGTACGGCATGCAATCAAGGTCTTGTTTGTACAACAGGGAGACGAGGTCATGGGGAGACGGGGTCATAGGGAGACGGTGTCAGGCAACGGGGATGATGACGCTTTCGGGTCACCATGCTGGACTATACCTCTGGCGATAAGCATGTTGGAGGCAATAAGGTGAGAGGTTAGCAGAGAACGGATGAAAATTCAAATAGAGTGTTGTCGATCCGATGTCGTCAAATGTGTCTTGTCACTTCATGGGGGTCCAGCCGGGATGAGGCCTGAACACCTTTTGGCCCTGCGCTCGCGTTGTTGAGGAGAAACGGGAGCGCCAGGCGATCAAAATTGGAACAAACGCTCACTGTCTGGCATTTCACTGGTCCGTTCGATCCCTCGGCGGATCCAGCTACTGTACCATGTAAGCGGATGGGGCGGCACCAAGACGGGACTTTCTGGCCCCTTCTCCCCAGTCACTCTACTCCACACCCATCTACACCACACCCACCTCATACCACACTTGACACCAACAACGCACCACATTTGACCCGGCAAGCTTTGCTGGCCGGCAGTCTTCATCATAATGCTTCCTGGAGTTCTCGCCTTCGCCTCCGCTTTCGCCATCATCACCACCGTCACACGAGTCGCGGCCCCCCCGTTTGATCAAACTCTGCGCTGTTGGCGCCGCCTAGACGGGTGGCTTGTCTGCAACTGACCTCATTTGACCATGCATGGGGTCTGCGTCTATCCTGTCGCCCGGCACTTGAATGATGTGGTCATCATTGGCCCCGGAAGCTGCATGTTCAGCCACGACGGTACTCCAATCGATGTCGTCCCTCTTTTAGTTGACACAAGAACGCTTGGCAGCCTTCCGCGATTGTTGATTGTCACGATGATCCTTCTATTGTCCGAATTGGGAGCAACCTCAGCGACCAAAAGCCTGACTGGCAGCCGAAAATATATGCGATGAACTATCACACGCGCGTCATGTCACATCGAGACCGACAGTGAAAGCATCATTTGTCTTTTTGGACGAGGTTGTTACCTAATCTTCGGTGTGCATACCGAGCAGAGTTCCAAGCCCACTACGGGCCATGCATGTCACGGTGCTCCGTGCTCTGTCCGACAACCACGACTTCCGACACCCTAGCAACCCAAATTAGGATCAATCGCGCGCTGAATGTTGGTTTCTCGAGCCCGGTCCAACGAGTTCGTCATCCAATGGCTTCGTCTTGGGGCCAGGTCACACTGTCTTAAGTGGCGCATCAGTACTACGACGGAAAAGACTGTCCACCAGTCTCACGCAGTCGCTTCGACTTCTCAGCCCTTCTTTCTATTTTCTATCCATGCGGGCTGCCGAGGCCGTCATTCTGCCATGTGTATTGCCTAGCACACTGTTAGACAATGCCTTCCAGCCGATCCCGGCATTCTTTCCAACTGCCCTGGGCCAGAGTCAGCGGAGGACTGCAACAAACTCAGCACTGCATCCTCTGTTGTCTTGGTGTGGCCCGGACTCCGCTCAAGGATAACCTGGCAGCGAGGAGGATCAGCGTAGGGGCGGCCTCTTCACGCCCCATTTCCCCACCAACAGATCGGGGCGGCTCGGGGGCTGTAGGGTATCGCAAATGCTGCTCCCAAGAGCCCGACATCGAGACAACAACGGTGTCGCCAACATTCTACCAGCCCCGTTGCTGCCCCCGGCCCCCGACGAATGGTAGCCGGTGCGACGTCCAGCCCTCGACCCCCGACCCTCGTCGGGTTCAGCGGCACACAAAACACCTTGACATGACTGTTATCGTTGCACAGGCGTGGATACCCACGCTTCCTTCGGGGCCAAACTGGGTCGCTGGGCGCCACGGGCTCCCCACAGTTGTTTTCGGACTGCCTTTCCCTGCTGCGTGGTTTATCCATTACTGGGTGGTCGAGCACTCATTGACCTTCCAGGCGGCTCCTTGCACGACTCGTCACGCGGATTTGAGGAACAAGCTATTCAGCCCGGCTCAGAGGCCAGGTCTTTGTCCACCGAACCTGTTCGACATCCTGCCTTGTTTGTGGCAAGAGTCACTACCATGTGCCACTGGGATTGTGTGTCAACCTTGGTCCGAGCTTTAATAGATCTGTTGGTTATGGTTGGTGACCACTACCAGGGCGATCCTTGAGCAGGATTGCCGGGTTGCGTTTGACCCGGTGTCACTCCTTGGGCACAGCACGCGAAGTCTTCTAGCCCTTCGACTGATGTTCGTTACGACCTACAGCTACCTCGACTTCTTATCACCTGATTCGATTTGGTTCCGAGGCTCTCCGGCCCAGCCAACGTCTGTTCGTTATATCAAACGCCATCCCGTGCTCCATAGCAGTACCATGTGAGATGATTGCGCCGCTAGGTGACAACGTCACTTATCAACGAGCGTCCTCGTTTAAGCTGCAGCAGGCCCGTAGAGCGAATCCAGTTGCAATCTTCCAGAGTATGCCGCAAGCTTGGTGTGCAGCCTGTCTCGAACGAACCGAATTCACTGACAAGGGGCTGAGTCTCTATTCTCCCAGCTGAAATAGCGTTCGCGTGGTTTGGCTGCAACAGCAGGTATGTATGGGGTATCAGGGGCCACGTCCACGTAACTAAGGCTTCCTGGCGTCTACGTGGCTGTTTTACAGGGCCTGCATGTTTCATGCTATCACCAGGCGCCGCTGTGTATGAGGCATCCCATGAACATCTGGTGCAAATCAGAGCTATATCTACGTCTTCTAGCTCCAGCAGCCCAGCAATCAGTGACCTACCTAGGCATATCCGCTGCAGGTGTGCTCGGTTCCGGGCGTATTATTTATCACAGTGGTGGATCACTGGCGGGCCCCTGCACGGCTTGGAGTTGGCTAGTATCATTCAGATGCATCGCACACGGGGCTTTTTCGTTTGCTAGGCAAGTGAGGCCCTCAAAGGCGCGTACTGTGATGAGACCGATGCCATTCTCGTGTAGTGATGGACGAGTGTTGGTCGAGTAGACGAAGGCAGTCGATGCACAAAATGCTGGCTTTGACGCATTTCGATAGCGATTTCCAGGTGTAGTAGGCCCACGCAACCAGCACAGAAAAGAAGCTGAACATTGCTCTATTAATCAATTCCCCAGGGCTCAGTCGCTGTCCATCAGTGCGGCCAACTCGGCCTCTTCATCCGCCGTCATGAGCCCCTCCTTCTTGTTGCCGTCCTTTTTCGCCTGCTGCTCATCCTCCTCCACTGGCTCGCCAGCTTTCCGGATTTCCTCTACTGCTTCGTCGAGACCCTGCTTGTCGAGACTCCATGTTCGAATTGTACGATCAATACTGATGCTGACTAACGTGTCCTTCTTCCCCGAGGGATCCCTCAGCACGATCAAGTCGGTGATTTCGTCAAAGTGTGCCGATATCGTGTAGACAAGACTGCCCGATGTGCGGTCCCACACCTTGATATCCTGGCTGAACCCGCCCGTGACGACCCACGTCTCGGTGAGGACGAGGCCCTTGACGAAATCACCATGCTCAAAAGTATCCTCTGTCGTGAAGTCCTTGCCGCGGGCGAGACACTTTGCCGTGCCGTCGGCGCTCGCCGTCCACAGGTCAATCTCCTCGCTCTCCTGGTCAAACAGGACCTTGTAGACGCTCGTCTCGTGCTCGGAAATGGCCCCCCCCGCCGCCAGCGCAGCCCCACCAGCGGCCTCGCCGCCGACCTCGCCGCCAGCCACCATCTCGGCGCCGTCGAGGCGCACCCGCCAGCGGCGCACGACGGGGTCGCTGCTCGCGCTGACGACGACGAGCTCGTCGTCCGAGGACGCGACGGGGTCGACGGCCAGCGACTGCAGCGACATCATGGCGGCGGCGGGGTCCTGCAGCGCGTGCAGGCGGCGGCCGGTGGCGACGTCCCAGACGAGGATCTTCTTGTCGGCGCCGCCGCTGAGCAGGACGTCGCGGCCGCCGAGGCGCGCGGCGGCGAGCGTCTTGACAAAGTCGGCGTGGCCGGCGTAGCGCCGCTGCGGCGCGCCGGTGCGCAGGTCCCAGGACCAGATGGTCTTGTCCCAGGCGCCGGCGAAGAGGGTCGTGCTGCTGGTGGCGAGGCTCGTGACGGGCACGGCGGGGCCGGCGAACTTGGTGGTGGGCTTGCGCGAGGTCAGGGAGATGCGGGCGACGCGGCCGGAGGACTCGGCTGTCAGCAGGGCGTTGGGATTCGTGGGGTCGGGCAGGACGGCGAGGACTTTGGACGGCAGGCGGATCGGGTTGCCGAAGGGGTTGTCTTGCTTGAGGGCGCGCTGCTTGCGCTTCTCTTGTTGGACGCTGGGGGTGGGTTAGTGAGGAGCGCTTTGGGGAAGTCAGGTTGGTCGTTCGGGGGCTCACTCACTCCGTCTCGAAGAAGTTCTCCTGGTTGCTCGACTCCATGGTGCTGTTGTAGGCGAAGCCAGTGGAGACTCGAAATCTTTGGGGGTATCAATCAGAGGCTGTATCACGAAAGAGCAGTATGACTTGAGCTCTGTACATTGACACCAAAACTTGGGGGTATTCAATGGCAAGGTTGACTTGTTCGTTCGATGAGATTCTTGGTCATCTGCAGTGAAATGGCGGGGCAGACGGACAACGGCAGACAGCTACAAGCTGCCCCTCACTAAGCCCGAAGCCACCTGGTCCCAAGTGGACCCAGCTGCCGTTTCCCAAACGACCCAAGACGCGCCAGAATTAATTGATTGACGCGTCGACGCGCTCCTCGCATCTGTCCCCCCTTGCGAAGCCATGAATCTGTAGATCGACCTCCTCCTCGACCAAGCCTCTTCAACACCATCAGGCGAGGTAGGATTCGAGCTTCGTGGTACTGCCCTTTCCGAAAGCCTTTCCGAAATCATCGCAATGTCATCCACAGCCCCGAGGGTAAGGCCACGGCCTGCCCACACCTCCGGCACAACTCGCTGTGCCTACATACCCAACGGCTCCCGCCTCGTTACCGTTGGCTCCAACAACACCATTCGACTGTACAAGACGGGCTTTGACGGCGAACCCATCAACATCGACGAGTGCCAGGAACAGAACGTCACAGTGGCTGCTGCTGATGACTTCTTTGTTGTCGGTTCCGAAGATGGCACCGTCAGCGTCTACTCCACCATCACCGAGACCTTTGACCGGTTCATCACCCGCACCTCGCTGCCCATACGCGACATCGCCCTCTCTCCCGACCTCAAGTGGTGCGCTGTCGCCAGTGACGAGTTGACGGTCAAGATTGTCGGCACCTTTGACCACTCGTACATTCGCACGCTGAAGGACCATGGAAGACCTGCGAAACACGTTGCCTTTGATCCCAAGGGCGGACTGCTCGCCGTCTCCTGCACTGATGGCATCGTCTACGTCTACTCGCTGACGGCAGACCAGCCGGAGCTGATACACAAGGTGGATGGCATTATTGGATCGCTGGAAACCGACTCGGATCTCTCTTCAGAGGCTGTGTGGCATCCTGACGGACGGGCCCTGGCGCTGCCGACACCTACCCACGATATTCAGGTCGTTTCGAAGAACGACTGGGAAAAGCAGCGCGCCTTTTCCAACGGTCACCTCGGAGACATCACTGCCCTGGCCTGGTCGCCCAACGGCGCCTTGCTAGCGACGGCCGCCAAGGACGGCAAGGTTCTCATTTGGGAGACGAAGACGCAGAGCGTCATTCAAAAGTTCGACTACAACAATGTCATTGACCTCTCCTGGCACCCCACCGACAACCTGCTGTCCTTCTCCACGTCGGAAGGCGAAGTCTACATCTACCCCGACCTCATCAACGAGCAGTTCGCCTCCCTACTCAAACTCCCTAAACAGCCCGCCCCCTTCATCCACGACCCCCTCTCCGAGATCTCCAACGCCCGTCGCCCACCACAACCTCATGGCAACACCAATGGCAACGGTGCACTCCCTTCTCGGCCCCGCCGCGACTCCCTCGGCAGCCTAGACTCCTTCCTCAACGCCGATGAAGACGGTCTCGGCGATGGCGACGACTTTGTCGTTGACGATGATGGAGCCGGTTATGCGGCAGGCTCCAACCGCAAGCGGCCTCATGACGGGTCCGGCCCCATCGAGCACGGCGGCAAGCGACGTCAGCTTATGCAGGCCGAATATCACGAGGCTTTCCAGCCGGGCTCGACCCCGTGGCGCGGCAACAGGAAGTACCTCTGCCTAAACCTCATTGGCTTCGTCTGGACCGTCGATCAGGACGGCCACAACACCGTCACGGTGGAATTCTACGACCATGAGCTCCACCGCGACTTCCACTTCACCGACACCTTCCTCTACGATAAGGCCTGTCTGAACGAGCAGGGCACGCTCTTCTCGTGCCCGCCTCTAAAAGACCAGCCGGCGACCATCTTCTACCGCCCGCACGAGATGTGGACGCAGCGTCATGACTGGCGGATCCAACTGCCCAAGGACGAGCACGTTCTAGCCATGTCGCTGAGCGAATCGTTTGTGACGGTGACAACGACGGCCAACTATGTAAGGGTCTACACGCTCTACGGGCTTCCGTATCGCGTTTACCGTCCCAAGAACACGCCCATGGTCACCTGCGCCAGCTGGAAGGACTACGTCCTGACAATGGGCAACGGGCCTGTCGGAGCTGATGGATATACGAAGCTTCTCTACACCATCGAGAATGTCAAGACGGATACCATCTGCCAGAACGAAGACACAGTGGCCCTTCCCGATGGCGCAACACTCAAGAGCGTCTTCTTCTCGGACTCAGGTGTATGTCTTCACCCTAAACCCTGACGGTGGAAAACCAACTGACAATGCAACAGAACCCATGCATCTATGACTCGACAGGCACCCTCCTCACCCTCCTCCACTGGCGCAGCCCCTCCCGCGCCTCCTGGATCCCCCTCCTCGACACCAAGCTCCTGCCCCGCCTCGCCTCCGGCCGCAAGACCGAGACGTATTACCCCATTGCCGTTGCCGACGACAAATTCCACTGCATCATTCTCAAGGGCGGCGACCAGTACCCTTACTTCCCCCGGCCCCTTCTCTCCGAGTTTGACTTCTCCGTACCCCTGACTTCCACGCCACCAAAACCCGCCCGCGCCGAAGGCTCCGACGCCGGCGACGAAGACGAGGACGCCGACGCCGGCCCGGAATCCGAGTCCCGCAAGCTCGAGCAGGCGTTCCTGCTGCGCACCCTCGCGGCGGCGCAACTGCGCGACGCGGCGGACGACGACGACACCCCCGGCGGCAGCGGCGGGCGGCACGCGCAGCGGTCTGCGCTCGCGCGCGTCGAGCTCGAGGTCGACAAGACGCTGCTGCAGCTGCTTGCCATTGAGTGCCGCGAGGGCGACGAGAGGGGCATGCGCGCGCTCGAGATGGTGGAGCTCATGCGGGACCGCACGGGACGCATGGTCGATGCGGCGGTCAAGGTTGCTGAGCGGTACGGCCGGACGCTGCTCGGCGAGAAGATTCGGGAGCTGGGCGACAAGAGGGCCAACGGCATGGAGGAAGACTGGTGAGCCTGGTTCTCTGTGCTGGAAGAACGGCGCTCGCGCGTGATCAGCGTCTGGTTTGGGCGTTTTGCGAACACAGCTGCTGCTGGGGTTGGGACATCATCTTGGGCTGCTTTGTTGTTAGAAGGATGGGACTTGCACGGGTCCGTCGATGATGGCCTGAGATGTACACGAACATACAATATGATCAACGTGGAAAATCCGCATCGACTGTTCAAAACATTCTGCACGCCGTTGGTTGTCGCTTGTTGACATGTAGGGCGAGGAAGGACTTGCTTACTGGCGTAACGTACAACTCTGGCACAAAATTATGTCTTCATCTGTACCATGGTTTTGTTTCATCAGCACGTGCCACGAGCACTGCTCCAGCCCTGTTCAGAGAGACGCTGTGGCAGACACGACAGTTGCCGGAATTCCGTCCTCTACCTCGAGTGAGACCGTAGATGCTCAACAGACTGGTCGTCAGGCAGCCCCCAAACGTGCGAAAAGAAGCTCTTCCTCTCGATCCGGCCATCTGTCCGAGACCCAGGTTCAAGGATAAGTGGTCAAAGTTTAGAAAGATTCAATGGTTTGGGGGCCTAGTTGCAGATCAGGCCATTACATTGACGTCTGTCTCGTATCTGAACTCAGCGCCGGGGTAAAGAGAAGAAACTATGTCATCTTTGGGTGATGTGCCTAGGCGAAGCGAGTTGGAATGATGGTTCGATGACTCTGGTAGATAAGGCTCGGACCCTCCCCTGTCTGCTTAGGAACTGTCAGGTGGCCCTGCGGAGCTACCAAGTAGGGGGTCGGTCAGGGGGCTGAGGGTTACGAGAACGTATATATAAGGACTCCGGAGGGCCGGAATTCAGATGTATCCCGACCCCTAACCTATATCCTATTGCCTGCGGACGAGGTGTGGAAGACCTCTTCACTCTGCTCAGAATCAAGCACTAACAGGAAGATGGGGAGAAACCAAGTATTCGGACTTCATGCTCACTATGCTTCACAGACAGATCATAACATAGGGGGAACTCTTCCTCATATTGCTCATGTATTACATTTCTATTGCGCAATCCTGACCTGTACGTCAATATGACTAGGTAGGGCGCGATAAGGAGCTTGGACTTGAGCATGCCATGGTCAACAGGATTATGGACTGTCGGAGGCCCAAGGTCGTACGAGCAAGTGAGACTGAGGGGGGTCAAGGCAACGCAGCTGGCTGGTCAGCTCTAGGGAACCTGGATGCCTCGCCCAAGGATCATTCTTCCAAGGCTCCCTAATCAGCTGGGACCTAGATCATCTGTGAGCCAGTCGTGCGAATCGCGATGGCCTTCACTGCTCAGCCACAAGCGAACAGTCTGACGTGGCATGCATGACAGGCTGTGCAATCTGCACTTTCAAGCTCTCATGTGTAACCATACACCCCGAATCTGGACAGTCGCAGAGGCCCATGATACGGTTCTTCATGGCGCCAACCTTGCCCCGCTTGTCACTTAAAAGTGGTGGCGAACAGCCTGGTCGCCATAGACTCTCTCCTCCGTGCTGTCTTCTAGGTTATATTCTAGTCTCTCTCCTCTGTCTAGTGGTCTCACCATTCCCAAACTCTCATCCATCCTTATACGAGCCTCTCTACATCAGTATGGCGGAAGTCGTCGGCGTGGTCGCCGCGGCATTTCAATTTGCCGAACTTGCGCAAAAGCTCATTAAGCTTGCCCGTGAGATTCATTCAGGGGCCGAGCCGGGCGTGGTGCATCGCAAAATCACGCAACTCGAGACGCTCGTCGAAATTGCTGGGAAAATAGCAAACTTGTGGATCCAGGACGATGCCTTGATGGAGAGAATCTTGCAACAATGCATCTCCACGGTCACCGATCTTGATAATCGACTCAGACGGGTCGATGTCGCCAAAGGCGATGGCTTTCGGAAGAAGACTCGAAAGGCTTTCTTGGCCCAATGGGAGAAGGATGACGTCGAGGAGCTGTTCCGACAGTTAAACCGGGATCAAATGGCACTGCTCTTGCACCGCAACTTCTCATCTGACAAGTAAGTCTTTCTTGAGGAAATGCTCCCCAGCCTGTTGCTATAGCACCACTGCTTCACCTACTAGAGTCTTGGCTAATGTAGTCAAAGTCACTTGATCCAGAAGGTCATAGATGGCATGCGCCAAGTCCTTGACGACCGGCTTCAATACTCAAACCCCCAGGGCGAGGATGAACGTTGCTTCTTGAAGGGCGTATTTGTCACCGACCCTAGGGATGACCGAAACGCTCTGCTTACACGCAAGGGCCGCCGCGTCGAGGGAACCTGTGTTTGGGTGACCGAAACAGATGTCTATCGTTCGTGGCTTTCGTCTACGCCCGGGTCTACAGGACTGATGCTTCAGGGCGGTCCGGGCAAGGGAAAGACCATGATGGCCATCTACCTGACGGAACAGCTGGAGCTTCTGGCGGGTCGCGGCGAATCCGTTCTCTACTTCTTTTGTGATAACCGCAACCCAAAACAGAACAATGCGATGGCCGTTGTTCGCTGTCTTTTGTGGCAACTCTGCCGCCTTAAACCAGCCTTACTGTGCCATGGGATAAGGGAGCTACAAGAGAGAGGGGGCAGTATTAACAATCTTCTGGTGTTTGATACACTCTGGCGAATCTTCGACACGATGCGGAAGGATGCAAATGCTGGCACAGTAACTTGCGTCATCGACGGGCTCGACGAATGCGATGAGGATTCTGTTTTCCTTATCCTCGACAAGCTCTGGCGCCTGGACTATGATCCTCGCTTCAGATTCTTGGTTCTCTGTCGGCCCCTCAAACCACGACAGCAGCTTCCTGCAGCCAACCCGTCTGTCGACATACTCCGCCTAGATCCCGATGCAGACGAGGAAGTCAATCGCGATGTTTTCGAGTTCATTCGGCAGCGAGTGCAAGAGATCGCCAACTCGTCCCCCGAGCGAAAATGGCCCGAGAAATTACGCCTCCATGTTGAGGCCACTCTGCAGAGGAAGGCTGGTGGTACCTTTCTCTGGGTGGGTTTCGTGACACAGGATTTGCAACGAAAGACAAGCACGGAGGTCAGGCAAAGCCTTAAGTCGCTCCCTTCAGACTTGAACGAGATCTACGACAGAATCCTGAAAGACGTGCCGGCTGAATATCGCGCCCAGATCCGATCACTCCTCCACTGGGTCAGCTTGGCAGCATACCCATTGGAGCCCGCAGATCTTGCTAGCCTTATCCATAAACCTGGGAACGCAGGAAATGCTACCAATTCAGAGCCAGAGTCGGACGCAGAACTATACCTGGAAACTGAAGAAGAATTGTTGCAACACTATCTAGATTTTGTTCGCCACTTTGTCTTTATTTCTCAAGGAAAAGTTCACTTCGTCCACCAATCTGCCAAGGATTATCTCTTGCGAAGCAGTCGCGATGCTGACCCTACTGTGGAGTATTTTCGGATCGCCGACCTCGAAGTTGCCCACGAAGAGCGAGCACGCGACTGTCTCGACTGCCTACACCGTCAATGGCCCATTCAAATAGAAGATTTCGACACGGTGGGCCGAAAGTACTCGTTCTTAAAAGCCTCTGCTTACTGGACACGCCACATTGGACGCAGTGGCATGTCGTTTCATTATTCTGACACGCTTCACAAGGTGACTCGCCTATTCAGCCGTGTCAATCCACTATTGCCGTGGTGCGTGATCATGGAGAAATTGCACAATGAGAAACTACGCGAATTTTCTGTTTTGGAATTCGGGATTCACTGTCACCTGACAGCGCTCTTCTCCGGAACCACAGGATTGTTGTTTACCACCACATATCTCTCAGGCGTTATCACTATAGAGTCGTGCAGTGACCGGCCTCTTCAACTTCTTCTTAACAAGGACAGTTGGGCCTACTTCGAACACCTTCTAGAAAAATACGGAAGCGAGGCCGTGTCTCAGGAGGAAGGCCTTCTCGTCGAGGCTATCCGCCATGACGATATCCCAGATATTGATTTCGGTCGGCTCTCCGGCGCTCTCCTGGCCGTCACCACCGATGCCCGCGCATACTTCGGCAGAGAACTCGACCAGGCACTTATTGAAGCCGCAAAGCTTCCTGGCGTCACTGACATGGTCCAGATTCTCGTCAACAAAGGCGCAGACCCCAACGCAACTGACAAGAAGGGCAATACTGCTCTTCATTACTTAGCCAAGCGAACTGACCCCAGTGGGATCGAAGCAGCTCGCTTCCTGCTCTCTCAAAGCAATGGCCCTATCAGACCTGATTCTGGGAACGAAAACGGCAATTCATCCTAACACTGTGGCTGTTATGAATAGCTCAAACCTCGTCAGGTTGCTGCTCAAGTATAGCGCAGCAACACATGTCGTCAATCTTGAGGGGTGAACGCTGCTTCAAACAGAAACAATGCGCCCCACAAGATATTTTCAGCAGGAATACATGGGAATCAAGTCAACCCGCCTGTTCGGCCCTCCATGTTCGGAGGGCCCTCAGAGCGCGGACACTCAAGAACGACATGACCAATGCGCACTTGACCTGGCTGCGATGTAGGCAACGTTGCAGCCGAAGGAAACGTCGCGAAGCTAATATAGAGTATAGGAACAGTCTTACGCGGACGCTCCTTCTGATGGCCGCGGCGGGTGGTTCTGCAGACATTGGTGGGATGCTTCTCGATTCTGGCGCGGAAGCTGCACCAAGAGGTCCCAACCATCAAGAGAAGAGAAGATCTACGGCCAGCCGAGAGCGGTGTACTCGATGATCGATTCTCTGCAAGGGAGCCCTCGACAGCGATGTCGAGAGGACCAGGAATCGGAACACGGGCGGGGCCGACGCGACAAAGCCTCTTCGCAAGCGCCTTATTACTATCAACGGAAGAAGTTTTGAAGGACGAGAACATAATAGCAGCTAGAGAGTTTGATCCAGAGTTCCGGAATTCCGAGTGTTGGAAGCGAGCTGAATATAGATGATGCTGCCTGAGATGGCCTCATCAAGCATTTTGGCAAGCAAATGCAAACGAGCAGTTCCGGGCCAGGATGGCAAGTGGGGCAGTATGATGGCGCCTGGGGAAGGTTCGTATTGAACGAGGGCAAAGGTTTTTGATAAGAACTCTTGTCAAGGCACCCCCCTGTATGGAAGCTACGATAGTCGTGGGGCCTTGGTCGAAGCAAGGAAGAGTCATCAATAGCCCTTCAATGCTAATGTAACAAGAAGCAGATCATGTGCTCTACAGTGAACTCATCATTCAGAGATTGATGACAGGTGCGAAGTGCATCAGGCTCGCTCAGGGTCGACCCAGGGTAGAAGCGGCGAGGCTTCTGAACGAGCCGATTCCCTACCAGCCGAGTAAAGCCCATTCGGGGGAGTGTCTAGCATTGTATGGGGAGATGAAGTGCTGTCTGAGTTGTCGAATCGGATCGCGCAGGAGCAGCTTCCAGAAAGAGCAGGGGACAAGCTAGATCCGAAAACGGACAGCAAT